GGGTTACAAATCAGAATCTTTATTCAGACTGGAGGGATCCGATGAGCTATGAAGCTCTTTTTCATAGATGTCCAGTAGGGGGTGGGTGAGAAAGCTACAACAACAATACAAAACTATAGGATTGCAAAAGTAGAGAAAAGGTCACTTTAAATAGATATAAACTACTGCATATGAGCACAAATCCCATAAGTTTATAGTGTATAAGAAGTGGAACCTCAGCTCTTTGCGGCGTTGACTTTGCTCATGATAAGGAGTTTGAAGCTGCGAGGCCCGAGGCGGGGACGAAGAGTGCCGTGACCTTGACGGGTGGGGGACGAAGAGTCATGTGACCTTGACGGGTGGGGGACGAAGAGTCATGTGACCTTGACGGGTGGGGGACGAAGAGTCATGTGACCTTGACGGGTGGGGGACGAAGAGTCATGTGACCTTGACGGATGGGGGACGAAGAGTGCCGTGACCTTGACGGGTGGGGGATGAAGAGTCATGTGACCTTGACGGGTGGGGGACGAAGAGTCATGTGACCTTGACGGGTGGGGGACGAAGAGTCATGTGACCTTGACGGGTGGGGGACGAAGAGTGCCGTGACCTTGACGGGTGGGGGACGAAGAGTGCCGTGACCTTGACGGGTGGGGGACGAAGAGTGCCGTGACCTTGACGGGTGGGGGATGAAAAGTGCCGTGACCTTGACGGGTGGGGGACGAAGAGTGCCGTGACCTTGACGGGTGGGGAACGAAGAGTGCCGTGACCTTGACGGGTGGGGGACGAAGAGTGCCGTAGATGAAAATGTGAAGAAGAAAAAAACGCCACTTTTTTCAAAACTTCTTGCTGTGGTTTTCACACCTGATGATGATTGCTTGTGTTGCAATCGAAACGTCGTGAGAATGTTATTGTTTTTTGTATTCTTTCATTATTTCCCTTCTACGTGACTTTACCGAAAGAACCAAGAATATCAAGGAAAGTTATTCTACTGGATAAGGGTCTCCCCATATAGTTGGGTCACGAGGGTTACATGCTATGAATTGCTACTTAAGTGCAGGTTGGTGAAGCTGTGGAGAATGGGCGTGAGGATATAGAAGTACAGTACCATAATGGGTGTTTCTGCAATTCCCACTCCAGCCCATAACGTAGTCTCCCAAAGCCCTCAGCTGAACGTCCTACGCCAATAATAAACAATGAATTGCCCTGGAACTTGACACAGTGCTGTCGGTATAGAGCACGACAGCAAAAGCCCACATACAGGTTTATTGCCTTTTTTGCAACTTAATACATTGCGTTCCGTGCATTTGTGTAATTAAATTTGGTCCTATGACATAACCACGATCTATGACCACACCCCTTGGTGTAAAACTCAAAATACGTTGCAATAAATCTTGACTTAAAGCTTTCGTGACTGCAGGAATTTATATTCCTTGGGTCTTTCGGTAAAGGCACGTCGATAGATTCAAAGAAAATGACAAAAAAACTACGACGTTTCGATCGCAACACAAGCGGTGGTCATCAGGAAATATATATATATTTTTTACAATATTACCGTCCTTTGCAAACCATATACAGTAAATCACCTGGCACGGCGAAAGGTGCTAAGGGTCCTCATCCATCATCATCAGCCATCATAACTCCACTGCTGGATGAAGGCATCTCCAACCTGTTGCAATCTCTCATGCCTCGCTTTTGTTTGTGGCGTGCATATCTTTGCATGCCACCTCCTAGGAGAGTTTAGTGCGCTTGTATTTCATTGTGCAATTTGTCAACCCTGCAGAGGTTGGCACGAATGCGTTTTCAAAGTCCACTTAGCAGCAAACAACACACATTGACTTTTCATCTACAAAAATAACTTGCGTTGCCAAAATAAAAGTCTCTGGTGGTGCAGTGATGCAACAGTTCACACACTGCACTGCACCCGGTTACCTGAATTTGCTCATACAGTATAACTTTCAAGGTCAACCTCTCACATTCTCAATTCTCAAAAAACCTTTAAGTCGGTTCAACATTATATTCTTAGTTCTTTCAGTAAAGTCACGTTGAAGGGAAACAATAAAATAATAATATATAAAACAATAAAAATTCTCACGACGTTTCGACCATAACACAAACGGTCGTCATCAGGTGTGTCGGTTTGCATAAATGTATTTATTTTTAAACGGTGTATTTATTTATTATAAAAAAAACGTTAGCGCCACGCGCAGCGATTTGTCAGTTTATTTAGAAGGACGGGTCCATCTATGTTCTGAAAAGAGGAGGGGGGAGACGAAAAAATTCATGTATGCTGTCTGAAAGCCACTGTAAGCGTGAACAATCAATTAAGACCTGAAATGGTTTATCAAATTTTTCCAATGATTGCTAAGCCAGAATCCATCTTCTCGGTTGAAATTGTCTCTGTGCTTGTATATGTGGATAGCCTCATGAACGAATCTCTCATGGTAGCCAGATGGCTTACAAAGAACCTCTGTCTTGGAAAAGTCAATGTCATGTGAGCCTACTGAATTATAACAATGATCTGCCACGGCCGAGGTGTTCGTCCTACCGTGTTCAAGGTTTGCTTTGTGTTCACGAATGCGGTCCGAGACATGGCGTTTGGTTTCTCCAATGTAACTACTACCACAGAGGCAACTTAGTTTGTAGACACCAGGGTATTGTATGTCCGGAATCACATCTTTTACAGACGGAACCAGATCACGGATTTTTATGCAAACCGACACACCTGATGACGACCGTTTGTGTTATGGTCGAAACGTCGTGAGAATTTTTATTGTTTTATATATTTTATTATTTTATTGTTTCCCTTCAACGTGACTTTACCGAAAGAACTAAGAATATGAATTACTGCAGTCACGAAAGCTTTAAATCGGTTCAACATTGTTAATGTGTCAAATTCAAAACTACTGTATTTTAATGCTCCCTGTAAAGTGCGACCTCCAACTACAAACTCAGTCAATGTCTCTGCCCTGTCTGCTCTGAAAGACCATTGCCGGCAGCTTTAGCCGATTTATATAGCGATGAATGTGGTTTAGTGTTTACATCTGTACTCGTGCACCACTGCCAATGTCAGTCCCTTTAAAAGTTTTCCAATCTGACCTTTCACCGTTTAAGGTCGAAAGTCTTAACTTTGCAGAGCGTGCACTGCACTGTGCGTGCCTGCGATATCGCATCTGGTTTGAACTGCAATCACAGATCTAAATCGAGTACCACGCATGCATGGTTGGTGTACTTTCACCAAGCTGCACTGGCCAGCTTAAACAAAAGTTCGAACAATCCCCCCCCCCACCAACACCCACAGGGCCTGGGAAAGCTCTCATTCAGTAGCCGATTTGAAATTAAAAAAATGGTTGTACATGTGCATGATTTCCAACTACATTACGTGTGAATTCCTAAACCACATGAGTACTCATTTGGAGAGTACTGTGGAAGGGATACCTGTATGTGTAATGACACATATATGGAGATGTATTGGCTGCTCGTCTATTTTTGCTTCTATTCTCCACAACGATGCCAGCGATTATTTTAAAGGTGCTAATTTTAAACAAGCTGGAATGGATGACTTGAAAGGAGGCCTTCATCCAGCAGTGGCTCGATAAGTCGATGGTGGTTGCTACTGCTGTTTTTGATGTAGTGCTGTAACACGGCTTCGCATCAGCCCTGCAAGCCCACCAGAAGCACAAGTTTGCTTTTTTTTCTCTAGTCTCGCGTACGGTATGGGGGCAGCAATAAGTTCGGAAACTAAATGAACCAATATTCGAGGTCCGCGAACCAACGAGAGGAGGCGGAGAGCCCTTTGGTCGTGACAGTCGGTGTAGTTCTCCTCTCGCCGCTCCGTTTGAAGGTAGCGGCACCCCCACGGTGGTTTACCGTCGTCGATTCCGTGGCCACGACCACACTCCGTGGGCTTCGTCTCGTGCGCGTCTCTTCTCTATTCAACGGTTTTTACTTAACTTGATTCCTCTGTTTGACTGGGTCAAATGTTGTAATCAAAATTTAGTCCGCTTCCCGTTGTCCAATCGATTCCACATTTTGCACAAGTACTCAGATCCGGTGACAATGCATGCCTGTATCAAAATCGGCGTCAATTAATCAATTAATTCGCTACTTTAAAGCAATGCACATTTTGCATGGACGCCTTATTATTATATATTTGTGTGTGTAGGTCAAAAACGCCGCGGTCCTTAAATTGTGGAATTGCCTCGCCCAAGAAGCAGGCGCCACGTGTCTCAGCCGCGCCTGCTCCGTGTCAACGAGCTACGGGCACCATCACTCCACAAACATAAACAAAGGAAGTTCTACATTGAAGATTCATTTATAAAATCACCAATTTCTTCAAGTAAGCGTTGATGTGGGAGCAGGCGCCGCATCATTGACGTAGTTCTCGACCGTGAGTTAAACGAAGTTGTTAATAAAACCGTTGTTTAAAAAAAACCTTTTTTTAAGGAGTTTATTTTTTAAATTCTCCTAAATTCCGAAGGTCTTGGATGTCATGTGTTCCATTATCACTGTTACATTGCATTTATGGCTTTATTTTGGTGATTTCGAAAAGTTTTTTTGGTTTGGCCATGTTTGTTTGTTGTAGTACGGAGTTAGACTGATGGCCTAAATCTAAGTTGTCTTGTGGTTGTTATTGTTGTTGTTTGACTTGTATCCCACTGGGATTTTGTACACAGCGTTGGTGTACGGTGCTATTTCAGGAATATTTTGCCGTTTTTTTTCCTGGATTTTCCGTTTGCACAAAGTCACACATAAAGTCACTTTAAGATGTTTTTTTCTTGTTCATGTTTTAGTTTGTTTGTTTGTTGCGGTTGCACCCGATTCGATAGCCGAATGTCTCACAGGGGCTATACCAAAATAGATGAAAACTGAACTGCAATGTTGCGTGCGACCGTTCACCCGCAGTTGCACGGGGCCCGCCAGCAGGGGGCGTGCTCACGCGTGCCCACCCACCCACCCCGCCTGCTGCGGGCTTGACGAGGCGAGTTGCGTACGGGGCTTTTATTTTGAAAGGCACTCGAGAACCCCTCCACCACCACCAACAACAACACTACCACCACCACCCTCTTCCACCACCACCACCCACCACCACCACCCTCCGTCGTCGTCGCAGAGTGCCTCTGCACGACGAGCAGCTTGCGCGGGCGGAGTGCGCGCCAGGTGATCGATCCTCTCGGTTGGTGATCCCCCGTCAACATCACTCGTGTCGGTGTGTGTGCGTATCGGCCTGTGTAGTCTATCGTGTGACACACAGGCAGAGTGTGTGTCGTGTGTGTGCGTGTCGTGTGTGTGTAGTCTATCGTGTGACACAAGCAGAGTGGGTGTGTGTCGTGTGTGTGAGTGTCGTGTGTGTGTAGTCTATCGTGTGACACAAGCAGAGTGAGTGTGTGTCGTGTGTGTGCGTGTCGTGTGTGTGTACTCTATCGTGTGACACACAAGCAGAGTGAGTGTGTGTCGTGTGTGTGAGTGTCGTGTGTGTGTGTAGTCTATCGTGTGACACACAAGCAGAGTGAGTGTGTGTCGTGTATGTCGTGTGAGTGTCGTGTGTGAGTGTGTGGTCTATCGTGTGACACACAAGCAGAGTGTGTGTCGTGTGTGTGTGTAGTCTATCGTGTGACACACAAGCAGAGTGTGTGTTGTGTGTGTGTGTGAGTGTCGTGTGTGTGTAGTCTATCGTGTGACACACAAGCAGAGTGTGTGTCGTGTGTGTGTGAGTGTCGTGTGTGTGTGTAGTCTATCGTGTGACACACAGGCAGAGTGAGTGTGTGTCGTGTGTGAGTGTCGTGTGTGTGTAGTCTATCGTGTGACACAAGCAGAGTGAGTGTGTGTGTGTAGTCTATCGTGTGACACACAAGCAGAGTGAGTGTGTCGTGTATGTCATGTGAGTGTCGTGTGTGAGTGTGTGTAGTCTATCGTGTGACACAAGCAGAGTGAGTGTGTGTCGTGTGTGTGTGTAGTCTATCGTGTGACACACAAGCAGAGTGAGTGTGTGTCGTGTGTGTGTCGTGGGTACAGTGCATGCCTGTCGTGACACGTGCGCGTGTGTCGAACATCGCCGCCGGAGAGACAAAGGCGGCCGGGCGTGCTACTACTTGGCCACCCACCTTCGTAGGTTCTATTCGCTAACAGTACTTGCCCCAACGCTCTGTTGTTACAGGCTGTACGGGGCTGGGGGTATCTTTGTGTGTGTGTGTCTGTACTGTTCTGTGCATGGAGGTGGGTGGTGGGGGTTGTCGCTGCCACAGCCGACGTGAGCGGTGATTACCCGAACCGAGAGCGACGCAAGCCACGTGCGTTGTTGTTGTTGTTGCTGCTGCTGTTGTTGTTGTTCTAGCCCGTGATAGGTGCTCGCTAACAGTGCACATCAAAGTACAGCATGGCAGGCAATTTCCGATCTCGGGAACACTTTCTTTTTTGCGCGCTACAAGCTGCTTTGACGACATTTCCTGGTATTAAAGTAACAAAAACCGCGTGGCAATTTTGTGACGCGGTTTGCAGCAAGTCTGTTGGCTGGCCGGCACTTCCATCCAGCGGTGGATAGAGAACGTCTTGTGGCTGCTTAGAATCAACAACCGCATGCGCTGCTTTGTTAAGCACCGATGCACACCGCGTAGCTTCTGTAACAAGTGCTCTTACGCCGTTGCTGCTAAAGCAAATTAATACAATTTAACAAAAAAAAACGAAACAATTCTCACGACGTTTCGATTGCAACACAAGCTAATCATCAGCAGCATCATCATCATAAGGTGTGAAAACCACAGCAAGAAAATTTTGTTATTTTAAAAAATATATATTTTATTATTTCACTTTCCAAGTGACTTTACCGTAAGAACCAAGAATATGAATCCCTGCAGTCACGAAAGCTTTAAAATCGAAATTTTACTAAAGCAAAGTTGCATATATTTTTTTTCTCAAATTTCTTCCCTTGATTGAAGATATTTTTGCGTTATTATCAAGTTACCCGCCAGTGTGCCTTGAATGGGTAGCGTGTCTATGAATGTTGTGTTTGCTACTCACTATCTGCAATGTTATGATCTATTTGCTGCCCTAACTTACTTTGTTTTCACAAAGGTACTCGGCTGGTCATTTTTGTGAATCGGTTTAATAATCTGAATGTATCCTACCCCGCAATAAACAAATACAATCAATCACAAATCAAAAGTTGCCACAGTGGTAAAAGTTGTACTTGTAAATGTTATTATTGCCCTTATTGATAAACATCTTTCTACTGGAGCAGTGTAGCCTCTGAATACAAAAAGTCAAAATGGAACTGATTTCTTTTGAGGGTGGAGTGAGAATGGACAGTGAATGGGATTCATGGTCCGTGTCAAGGGCAGTGCAAATCCTCTAGTTGACAAGTTAACTAGTTAAGGGTCAGACGCAGAGGCTACGGTTTGATTACCCAGTCCAAAGTTAGCAAGCCCTCTCCCTGTCTTCCCATGTTATTGACTGCGCTTTCACTGGATACCGCTTTGTAAGAGAACAAGAGAGATTAGCCTAGGTGTAAAGAAAAGCACATCTAATATCGGAGTGATGTTGGTACTACGTACGCGTATGGATGAGAGCTGGGTCCTGATTATAGAACGACTTAAGCTTTCATAGAAATTGCACGAGGAAAAGCTGCCTTAGCTCTATATTCATAAGAAAGTTAACACAATAAAGCATGGTAGTTTCAAGTTTATGTTGTTTAACCCTGGCGAGAACTAAAAAGAGACCAGAGGATAGTCTGCAAGAGTTGCATGGGTCACCGAAATGAAAAAAATGAGAAATAAATCACTGAAAATCATAACGAAAACAACTTTTTTCACGTGAGGTATTGAAAATATGGCAAACATACCTCCCTGCAGCGCATATCGGCTTGGGCAGGTGAAGTGAAGTTAGGAGAGAACCTAGAGATGGTCAGGACCACTCGTACGTCAATTGTCAAAGTAAAAAAAAAGGTTTATCCGATAATTAATAAAATCATGAATGACATTGATATTAATAACACTTAATAGTAATCACAAACTTGAATACTAGCATTAATAACCAACATTAAAAACAAATGTTATTCCATGAAACGCACAGAGCGAGGATGTTCTGCTGGCAGTGTTGCATGGGTGAGTTCGTGGTGGTCATGTCGGATGGGAGTTGCCTACCTGGCAGCTGATTAGTTGGTGCAGTGGGATTGATATAATGTAATCCTGAGCAACTGCTGCCATGCCCACAGTGTTGCAATACCACTCGGATATGCTGATATTACAGCATTTTTGTAGGTTTTTTCAAACAGCATTCTGAAACTTGCTACAATCTGCTGTTTTTTTCTGAGCGCTTTCTTCACTCGGGCCTGCGGACTCAAAGCAATAAAAAAGGATTACCATTTAAGCAAAGGTGGCTGAGACGGACGCTGGGAAAGATAGGATAAGGATTGTGGAAGTGATGAAAATCTTATGAGGCCAAAAATGTTGCACTGCAAAGGACATGTGCACAGGAAGGAGAGCCATTTATTTAAAAAGACATTGGAATGGTTTTCATGAGGCCCGCAACTAAAATCTGATAGTATAGGATATCGTTAGGGCAGATCTTGGAGGTCATGTGTCCAATATGCAGCAGTAGAAGGTAGAAAAGTGTTGGTTACGTGTGGGGGCATCAACGCCTTTGGCCGTGGTCACATTTTAATTTCGATCTTTCGCTCTTTCAGTGTTAATAAAGGCCATCCAGCAACAATGGGAGACTTCCAAGAGGTGGTGTCGCGGGCCCGGCAAGCGTTCCGAACGGGTCGCAGCCGCGACATAGCATTCCGTGAGGAGCAGCTTCGGGCTCTCAACCAGCTCATGGAGGAAAACGAGAAGGAGCTGTGTCAGAGTTTGTACGAGGACCTGCACAAGGTCGGCTTGCTTGCACTGAGCTACAACCACCTTAACATATTGTGGGATTGAATACCCTCTTCTTGTATCCTGCTTTATACCCTGTTATGCCTTGCACTAGTCATCATCGTAATTACTGTGAGACATAGTCTATCAAATTCTCCCTGTCTCACAATGCCGCAATCTGGCATGCTCAATTCGCATGACCTGATCACATGTGTTGCCTTCATGTTTACTGCCCTCTGGGGTGTGTTCATTCATTTGGCTGCCACTTTGTTACCAGTCTTGTACATTGGCTGCCTTCCCTTATACGTGTCCTGGCCAAGCCCACTTACTTTCCTTAGCAGTCATTATGATGTCTCTCACTTTTGATCTATGGGTTCCTCTCTCGTAATTCCCATCATGCATTGTTCCAGTCTTCTTTGTACACTTTTCAGCATTTGCATTTTCTTTGTCAAAGTCCATGTTTCTGATGCATACATGATATCTCCTGACAAATTACCTGCTCATTATGCAGATAATTTATCAAACACACTCTGTCCATCTTCGTCTTTCTCTCCCTATCTGGTGCCCGGCAGTGCAAGTTTGAAGTGATTTTGCACGAGTTGGTGCCCGCCAAGAACGACATGGCGTTTATTGTGAGCAATCTGCGCGAGTGGATGAAGCCACAACCGGTGTCACGCTCCCTGATTACCCTGGCCGACACTGTGTACATTGAGCCTCAGCCCCTGGGCGTGTGCCTCATCATGGGGGCCTGGAACTACCCAGGTGGACTTGTGTTTCAACCGCTCGCCGGAGCCATCGCTGCAGGTGCGAACGCAGGGCAGGCGAGGGAGTTTTTGCTGCCACCCATGATTCGTGATTCGTGAGGTCACGACTCGATTCGAGAAGGGATGCGTTGTTTTGTTGTCTCTGGTATATTGTTTGTCTGGTTTGCATTGTGTGTGCATTATTTGTATTGTGTCTCTTGTATCTGATGTATCTTGTATTTTATGCTTGTGACTCGTTTGCTGTTCGTCTCATATTGTCCGTCTCATTTGTATCGTGTTTTTCTCATTTGTGTTTCTCTCGTATGAATGTAATGTGCGTCTCGTTTGTGATGCCTGGCTTGTTTGTATTGTCGCTTGATGCATTGTCTATAGTTTAACTGATGTGTGTGTGTCTGTAGTGTCTGCCCTGTTCACTCACCCCTTTAGCCCAAACGTCACATTTACATATACAGTAATTTTCATAAGTTATAAACATTTGATTCTTATATGCCAAATTTAATGCCCGTATGGTGAGTGAAATAATAAACTAATTCATTAATGTATCGTTACTTGCTTAGCACACAGACAACGGCTGGTCCATCCACCCCGACCATGCCCAGGCTCGAGAGCCTGTTGTCCTTTGGATTTATTTATTAATTGTTTTACCTGCCTATGGTGCGATCCGACCCATTCATTGTGAAGATAATGGCACAGAGTGGCAATCAACTCCTTTATAAGCAGGGCTTATCGTGTCTTTTGGTGGGAGACTGCATGCACTACAGATACACTTTTAGTGCCAGTTTGTGTCCCACAATCATTGCACAATGCATGGACCGCTTTGTCATGGGCTTTTTAATTTTCACACTCACTCCTTGGTTTTCACCATTTAAGTCAGATTCTCTTTGGTGAGGTCAGTGCTTTTTTGGTCAAAAGATGTTTACGTGTACTTATATATGAGTGAATGATGGTAGAACAGTGGTGGTTACGTGAAGGAATTTACAAGTAAAAAAAAACTCTAACCTGAATGAAATAGACTTTTTGTGTAGTCCATCCACTTATTAGGCGGCTGCCCTGATTCAAGGTGCATTGTGCCATTGCCCTGGGAGTGCAACTTTGCATGGGGAATTACCCCATTCTAAACCTGTCCAATGGACACAGTCTCTTTACAAATAAATAGATTTTTTAAAACAAGAGCCCATTGAGACCAAAGTCAAGGGAGATCCAAATGAGTTGCACTTAGCTCAGTTGAACAACTGATTTACAAACACAAGTAAAAAAATTGTTGGATAATTGCTCAACATGTAATGATTGCACGACATCCATCTTTCAGCTCACAAATACCTCTGGAATAATGTGTGTAAGAATCAATAATTTCAGATTCAGTTATGCAACTAATATGCTCGCATTACATTTAGGGTCCACAAACGTGACAAAATCCCAATCCCAAAACTTGACAATTCATCGCACTTCTGGGGCCTTGGGGGAAGGGGTGGGCTAGTGGTGCTGAACAATTTAACGTCTAATAATTTCAATTACTTCATTCTAAAAGCTTGAGCATCGCAGACTGCTCTCCTTTCTTTCCATATTAGTGTGCTGCGATTATAGTTGTGGGAGCTGTGTTATGCAGATTGGTAGAGATGGTGAGCAGAGGCGTAACATGGTTGGCATGGACCCTGCTGTAAGAAATGAAATGGGGGTTCCCCATTAATTTTCCCCTTCTCTCCATAGCTGGCATCTGGGCCCCTACAGCCTGTGGGTCCCTGTGCAGTTGCACTGCCTGCACACTCGATAGCTATGCCACTGATTGTGTGGATTGTAGGAAATGCAGCCGTGATAAAGCCGTCTGAGCTGTCTGAGAACACGGCCAAGCTGTTGGCGAAGCTGTTTCCTCGCTACCTGGACAAGGTGAGTTTGGAGCGAGTGGTGCTGTCGATCTTGCAAAAAACCACCGTACTGATAGCACTTGCATGTTAACATGGGAAACGGTTGCTTGTTAACAACGTTATACCTATTACACATACAGCCCGTGTTTGTCAATCAACCACTGGATGAGGGTCATGTAGGCCATGAAGGATTATTTTGATTATACTTAAATATGCTAGTTGAAGGTGAGAGAAATTCAGAATCAATTTTATTGCACGGCCCACAATCCCTGTTACATTGTTGTTTTTGGATGGTGGCGGTAACGCATTCATGTACGAATTGGGCGCAATCCTGCCTTATCTTCCGAGGTCTGATGAAAACGAGCAAATTCCAGGTGATTTGGTCATGGGCATTTACTCTGTCATACCTCTGCCTTCCCCACATGGATAGATGCAAGAGATGTGGTCAGCCATGCAGAAAAAACTTGACCTAGAAACATAGATTTTAAAACATAGTAACCAACATGAAACATAGAAGGCAAAGAGTGGTGGAAGAAAACGGGTGGCAGAGGACAAACGAGAAAAATATGGACTGATGGAGTGGAAAAGGCACGAGAATGCAGAGGAATGGCAGGGGAATAGCAACAGATGTTATATAATAGTGGAAGACCCTTGCTGGAAGTTTGTGGACCCAGCGGCATCTGTAAAGGGGCTGAATGAATGGGAAGAAAGACCTCCACCTTATGCAGATCTGCAGAACCGACTGCGTTTGTGTACAGGGTTAACCACGTCCGCATTGTCGACTCGCCAAAAAGCCTGGGCCGCCATCCCTCCCTCTCTTTCGTTGGCTCGCCGGTTACAGGACATGTACCAGGTGGTGTTGGGCGGGCCCGCCGAGACGACGGAGCTCCTGAAGCAGCGCTTCGACCACATCTTCTACACGGGCGGCCCGACGGTGGCGCGTATCGTGATGGCGGCAGCCGCCCCGCACCTCACGCCCGTCCTGCTGGAGCTCGGCGGCAAGAGCCCCTGCTTCGTGCACCGCGACTCCAACCTCCAACTGGCCGCACGGTAGGCGTGCGACGACGGTGGGCCTCCCACCAGCCAATGCGGCAGCCAATGGCGGTTTTGTGGCCGTTGTTGATGCGCGTCAAGTCGGTCAACGTGTTGGAAACATTCTGTTGCGTGTCGAAAGTTGGTGTTTTGAGTTGATTTGTGATTGGTTCTCGATAATGTGGATTTAGTCTGTGATTTAAAAAAATAATATTCGTATTGGCTGTTCGCCATATATTACGTATTAGTTCACAATGTAATATCGCTTGTGTAACCTTAAAACAAATCTTGTTGTTTAGTTTATTTGATCTCTTCCATTCAGCCGCATCACTTGGGGCCGATTCATCAATTCTGGACAGACGTGCATTGCGCCCGATTACGTGCTGTGTGAACCGTCGGTGCAGGAACCCCTTGTGGAAGCCATTCGTGTCACTCTCAAGGCAAGTGATGAAATCACTGAGATCTGAGTTTGTTTCCTGGCCACGGCTAGAATCAGTGGGGGAGTGATATCTGAACCGATCCTGGGCACCCTCTTCACCAACCTGCACTGGCCAGTGTTGAGAAGTATGGTCAAACAACCCCCATGATTGACATGGTATGGGAATGCCTTCATCCAGCAGTGCATTGATAAAGGGGCTGAAATTGTATACTATTTGTATGTTGTATAGCTTTTCAACAAGTGTGATAGGTAAAACGATATTTTTAAACAAGCTAATCTACTATATTCTTGGTTCTTTCGGTAAAGTCACATTGAAGGGAAACAATAAAATAATAAAATATATATAAAACAAAATTCTCACGACGTTTCGACTGCAACACAAGCAGTCGAAATATCGTGACAATTTAATTGTTTTATATATATTATTTTTATTGTTTCCCTTCAACGTGACTTTACCGAAAGAACCAAGAATATGAATCACTGCAGTCACGAAAGCTTTAAATCAAAATTTAAGCTAATCTACTTTTAAGGTATAAGAATCTGTGAAAGGAATTTTAAAGATCATGTGGTGTGGTGTGGTGATAGCACTGTGTAACTATTTTTTTGTTTGTTCCTGGGTAGTAAGTGTTATTTCCTATTTGTTTATGCCTCAAAAGTACAGAAAATGGCTATTATTCTCCACAAACTTTACTTTTTTGACCAGGACAGTGATATTTAGAAATTTACCTATTTTCCAGAACATTCCAGATTGATTCAGTGCTGAGTAAACTTGGAGTAAGTTCTAGAACATTCTAGAACTTTCCAGTAATATAATTAGTAGTATAAATAAGTGGCCTTAAGCCCACCAGTTCAGTTTAGTTCCAGCTGCCTAAGTTTATACATATCTGCATTTTTCTGAGATGGCATTAAGAGGCTGCAGGCATCCGGCAGACGCATTTTGCTATGTCTGCGGCCAATTTATCAAGACAAGAGTGAAAAATTACTCTGTGGAAGCATCTGCTAAGATGTGTGAGGCCTACAAGGCATATTTTGGCATGCCTGTCGGGGATCAAGAAAAACCCTCGGCACCTCATTTCACCTGCGAGCAATGAAAAAAAAACTCTGGAAGGTAATATTTGTAAAAAAAAAAATTAAATTGTTAAAGTTTTTCATTTTAAAATGTTTTACAATTTTCAATGTTATTGAAAAAACATATCATATGAAAAATGTTGCAAAAATCTCTTACACATTAGTCATGGGTGAAATAAATTTATTTTTGTAGGATGGTACAGAGGGGAAAAGAGAGCCATGAAGTTTCGCTATCCCAAGAATTTGGCGGGAACCCACTGACCACTCAAGCAACTGCCACTTCTGCATGGTGGACCCTTCCAAACGTCAGACTGGCAAGAATGCACCTGCTATCACATATCCGGACCTTCCTTCATCCATCACCCTGGTGCCACACTGCCATGAGCTCCCCGTACCCACTCCTCCAGAGAGAGAGCAGCCGTCTTTAGAAGAGAGCAGCAAGTGAGAGAGCGAGGAAGACATTGTAGATCCAGATGACAATTTCAGAGGTGGAGCTGAGGAGAGAAACCCATACTATCCCAACCAAAAAGACCTCAACGACTTGATCAGAGACCATGGTCTCACCAAATCCAAATGCCGAGCTTTTGACGTCTCGGCTCAAGCAGTGGAACTTGTTGGATGAAAGTGTGCAAGTCGCAGATCAGAGGAAGCGTCACCAACCTTTTTGCAGCTTCTTCACCCGTCAAGATGGGCTCTGCTTCTGCCACAATGTGACCAGTCTGTTCGAGGCAATTGGAATCGCCTGTAACCAGAATGAGTGGCGCCTCTTCATTGGCAGCTCATCAAGGAGCCTCAAAGCCGTGCTGCTCCATAATGGTAACAAGTACCCATCTCTTCCCATGGCTCACTCGGTGCACCTCAAAGAGGATTACAACAGCATCAAGACCTTGCTGGACGCCTTGAAGTATGATGAGTACAGTTGGAAGGTCATCGGAGACTTCAAAATGGTGGCATTCCTGATGGGTCTCCAAGGCGGTTTTGCCAAGTTTCCCTGCTATCTTTGCCTTAGGGACAGCAGGGACACCAAGGCGCACTACCACAGGTGGGACTGGCCACAGTGGACCGAGTTCTCTGTGGGGAGGAACAACGTCAAGTGGGAGCCACTGGTGGACCCCCGGAAGGTGCTGATGCCACCACTGCACGTAAAATTGGGCCTTATGAAACAATTTGTCAGAGCTGTAGATAAGGAGTCGGCAGCCTTAAAGTACCTTCGAGACATTTTACCTAAGCTCTCGGAAGCAAAGCTCAAAGCCGGTGTCTTCATCAGACCACAGATAAAGAAGATCCTGGAGTGCAATAAATTCCCCAAGAAGCTCACTAGTAAGGAGAAAGCGGCTTGGAACAGCTTTGTCATAGTGGTTCGTTGCTTCCTGGGCAATCACAAGGTCGAAAACTATGTGGAGCTGGTTGAGACTCTGGTGAAGAACTACGGCACAATGGGCTGCAGGATGTCCCTCAAAGTCCATATCCTTGATGCTCATCTTGATAAATTCAAGGAGAACATGGGAGCGTACTCGAAGGAGAAAGGCGAGCGCTTCCACCAGGATATACAGTACTGGACTTTGAACGCCGCTACCAAGGACCATATAACGAGAACATGATGGGAGACTATATTTGGGGGCTGATTCGTGAAAGTGATTTACAGTATAATCGTAAATCTCAAAAAACTACTCACTTCTAAATCTTTTGTAGTAATTTTTGTATTAAATTTTGATTGATACATTGTTTTTTTCTTACTTTATGTGAAAGAAAGGACACAAATTTGCCCGTTTTCTCATTGAAAATAGGTAAATTAAAAAATATCACTGTTCTGGTCACAAAAGCAAAGTTTGTGGGGAATAATAGCCATTTTCTATTCCTTTTTAGGCATAAGTAATTACAAAATAACACTTACTACCCAGGAACAAAAATTGTGTAACATAGTGTAGTCTGTGCAAATGCAGTAAATCTGCAAATTAACCATTCATGAGCGGTTTGGTATTTGTCCGTAAGGTGCATAAAAAAACTATTTCGACAAATATTGAACACGTACACACACCCTTTTATATAAAATTAAATAATTACTGTAAACATAGACAAAACATACAATGTATAAGTTTAATCATTTTCTGTGGAACCTGCATGCATAGGAATACTATGGAGAGGACCCCAAAAAGTCACTGGACTATGGGCGTATCGTGAACAAGAGGCACTTTGACCGAGTGAAGGGCCTCATGGCCGGAGCAAAGGTCGCCATCGGAGGAGAGACTGACGAGGCTGAATTGTACATCGGTAGGAGTAAACACGGCATTACAAATATACTTTCTCTCGACTCCTCCAGTCCCCTTCATATGAAGGCTGCTAGTTCCATGAACCTCCGGCAGCAGTCCTCCACTGTTGCTGGTCATCATCATCCCATTTGTTTCCATCTCATTACTCTCTGTTCTAGTGCTTCTTTCACTCCATCAATCCATCTTTTTCTCATTCCTCTGTTGTTCTTCACGAGCATTGCCATTGCTTTTGCCGGATCCCTGTCGGTATTCTTCTGACGTGACTATACTTTACCAGTCTTCGTTGCTCAATTCTCTCTGAATACAGAGAGGCTGCTTAATCTATGACATGTGCAGAAATGCAGCCAAACAAGCTGATTACAGCTTGACTGGAATGCAAATTGACACAATCTTTTGAAAATATGGCCTACAGCACTCTGCCCCAATAAGAATTGTTGGCCAGTATATTTGTAAATTGTTCCACTTTGTGTTGATTTAATAATCGTCAGCAGCAGCCATGTTCCTTCCACTGCTTTTACTTAATTTCATCATTTTGTAACCACTCATTATCCACAACTCGTATAATCTGCAGCCCGGAACTGATCCATGAAATCTATTATTGAAGAATGGATATTTCCTATGATTAACATTATTTTTCATGAATAAGGGGTATATTCAAAATATATTTAGCCATGATAAAGATGAGTTATTTGCGAGTGGTCAGCATGGGTGCTCGTTTGATATTATCTACATTCTTTGTTGACAAGAGACATCACGCAGCAAATTCATCCTTTCCTATGTGTGGATAATTTTAGGGATAGTAATTTTTGGATATCCCCCCCACCCCTCTTTATAGCCCGGAATCTGGGAGCCCCTCCCCGGTGTAGTTGTTCCACCTGCATGCTCCATACCTATGCCACTACACTGCGCCAACAAAAAATCCATTATGCTTTTTGACTCGCAATGAATGGAGTGCGTACACATTTATCATAACTGAACAATTCAGGTTAGTTCAGACAATTGTTTTCTTATCGCTTTTGCTAAGTCCTCCTCTTCCTCCTCCTCTTGCTGCTGCGGCGGTGGTGCCGGCTTTCAGCCCCAACAGTGCTCACGGATGTGGATGCGTCCTCGGCGGCGATGCAGGAAGAAATCTTCGGCCCCATCCTGCCCATCATGACCGTGAATGGCGTCGATGATGCCATCACCTTCATCAACGATCGCGAGAAGCCGCTAGCGATCTACGTGTTCGCACTCGACAAGAAGGTGCTGGCCCTCCCACCCCAACCGCGCCCCCAACCCCCACAGCCCAAGTTATGCCCACCGTAGATGTAATGGAGTTGATGGCAGAGGCACAGCAACTTTAGGTGTCTGGACACCCGCAGAATGGTTAGATATGGCAATGAGACAGCTCACAACATTTTGGACAAAATTCACGGTATTTTGAGGATGCTTTTTTCCCGCTCGAACAGAGGCGACGTAAATACTTTTTTTCTGCTGATGGTGAAACTTTGAAATTCAAATTAGCTCGTGGACAGTATGCTCAGCAATGAGTCGGGTCACCAGAAGTGGCAAAGATAAAAAAAAAATATTGTAAAGTAAGAGTCTTATTATCTGTGGCAAAGTGGGGAGCAAATTTTGCGGATCCTATTTGTAGCCTAAACAATAACCACCAGGCACCATGCACTAGTAGGACTCCCCCCAACTTACAAAGTGTGGCTGTGCTCCTCATTGATGGGACATGGTGTCGTTTTGATTTGTAAATAGGAATGCCATTTTGCCTGGCATAGATTGAAAATGTTGCCAAGGTTAAAATATTAACATTTGTAAGATGAAATTAAAATAAAAGGGGCAGTGGTGTCACAGCTGTAGCTCACTAAAACTACGAACCCAGCGACCTGAGTTTGAGTTCTAAGCAATGGCAGGCGGTATCAAAACTTCCTAGACTTTCCCTTCACCAACCTACACTGACCATCATGAAGATGTTTTACCATCATGAAAAAGTATGGTAAAACAAACCCAATGACTGATAAAGCATGGAAGAGACCTTCCACCAGTTAATTGACAAAGTGCTGTTACTGATAAGTAATGCTTTTTTTTGGCAGGTGGTGAAACGTCTGGTGGATGAGACCAGCAGTGGAGGCTTCACATCCAATGACACCCTGTTCAACTACGCAGTCGAGGGCATGCCGTTTGGTGGCGTGGGTGAGTTCCCTACTCCCATGAGCAGCAGCAGTTGTTTTCCATCATATGGATAGTATCACAGTTATTATATGTAACTATTACTGTAAATAATGGTGGATCAACAGTGCAGTGATCCACGCCCATGGCTAACAATGTGTCGAATGATAGATGAATCCTGAGTGCCTCCTTTGCCAACCCACGCTGACCAGTTTGGAGATGTATGGTCGAACAACCCCTACGACTGACACAGTGTGGGGGAGGTCTTCGTCCAGCATGTACAACGTACATGAATTGAGAATAATAAATTACTGATGAATATATTGTGGGGGTGTAAGGATTGAATGGATGCAGCATTACATGTATAATATTGGACGATATTATTGACGTTAGGTTTAGAGTTGGGGTTTAAAAACTGAACTGCCGTATGCCTACTCTCCATCACAACCACGAATACGTACGTAGTATTTTATTTATTACTCTCTTTTTTTGCATACACCTGCACGATAATAAAGTAAAATTGTGTTTGACCACGCAGGCAACAGCGGAATGGGCTCCTACCATGGCAAGCACAGTTTCAACAGCTTCTCACACATGCGCGCCGTTGGCCTGAGAGGCCAGTCAATGGAGAGCGCCAACACCATTCGTTACCCACCATACAGCGACAAGAAGCTCTCCTGGTGCCAGTGGGCCATAGGCAAGAAGATGAGCAAGGGGGGCAGAGGAGGCCGGAGCACCATTCTGAGCATCGCCTTGCTGGGCTTGGCACTGGTCGGAGCCTTCGCCGCTCTTCTGACTAAGGTCAAAAATCAAAAGCCTAACCAAGCACTGTAGGGGACCCCGTTGATATTGATCAGGCCGAGAAGGTGGCTCTGAGGTCAGAGGGCTACGCCATCGTTGGTTTAAATCCACGATGAAACTGAAACTCACCACATTAATAAAAAAACACTGCCCTAAACACTTACCTCGTAATGTAACAGCGACAGTGTTTGTGGCATTGGCCCCTCTTAAAAGTTATGAAGGGCCATTTCTCAAAATTATGTTTTTTTTATATAATTTTCCTTCTTTAGGGCAGCGCTAATGATAAATGTGTTGCATTTTGTTAGTGCTTATAAACCAATACCCATGCAGCATCAAAGATTGTTGTGCAATTAAACTGTATTCTCAAGTGTAGTTGATGATGTGGTACCGTGGGTTCATGATAGTTTCCATATGACAAATGGCCAGATAGAAACAAATATTAAATTCAGGGTTTTTTTTTACTTAATTTTCCAGCTCTGAGAATTGAAGGTGTGAGTTTCACTTCCAAACCACAGACAAATTCTGTATGTTCAGAACTTGGGGAAAGTGCACCCCCTTGTGTGGGCAAAATGAAAAATTCCTTGATGGCATCCTAGAAGACATTCCATTATATCTCACATTTCGTGAGCTGTTCTCTAACACATGGGGTGGTTGCACTGCCCTGCAAGAGTTGTGAATGGATTTCCCATCAGCCCATGACATGATGCTGAAAGCACAATTGTAGAATACAGTTGTCAAAAGAGAAACTATAAAAACAATAATCAATGAGACAAGCAAGTAGAGAATGTTTTAATATTATAAATACAGCAGATGAACATGCCAAGTGTGCATGTATTTCACTCTGGTGAAGAAGAGTCTTCCCTAAATAACAGTTTACTTCATGTAATACTTTTAATTAATTCGGTTTTCTGTTGGCAAATCTTAATTGCGTTCATACACCAGGGAGCGCTATTTTCTCTCAAGTTGGAACAGATTTTGCTTTAACACATGACATTTGCGTCATTTAAAATGCCATTTTAAATACCACCTTTGTGAGAATTTGACACCTACGTGATTGAGGTGTTGTTTCCTTTCAGAGAACCCATAACAATATACCATCTGTAAAAAAAAGGTGCACAGTAATTTGCTTATGACTTAACTCAGGAATTCACACTGCTTTTTAGGTAAATTTGCTAACAGCCGTCCTTCGCAAATGTACTGTTAACTGATGTTTTATGTTGATGTTGTACTAGATTAGATCATGGCACTAACTGCCTCAGTCTTTCGTGATGAGGCCAATGACGTAAATACATGTCCAGTTGAATTATTTGCCTTCTGCTTCATTGTTGGAAGTGTATTCTGTTAAACTTAAAAGAGGGCAAGAGTGACACTCACCTGATACCACTCACCAAGCACACTAATCAGTCTCCACTTGCCACTCACCACTCATGCACCATACACTTACAAGACCTCCCAACATTCACCAGGCACTCACTACCCACTATGTACCACATACTCACCAGGTACTCGCTGCACACCACACTCACCACTCACCAGACAGTCACTACTCACCACTGGTGGCGTCTATAACGAACCTATTTTACACAAGCAGCCACCAAATGTAACTATTTCATTTCCCTTTCCGACGTGTTTCCGAGTTGCACTGCATGTTGTTCGGAATGATGTTCGACATTTCTCTGCACGTGCTGGGAGCTTCTTGAACTTCAGTTCCGCAACCAGCTCCCAGCATGTGGAGCTATAAAACACAACCATGAAAGCCTGCACAGCACATTCGTTCCCCACTTCACTCATGGGTTCTTCCCGCTGCCATTCCAGTGCCACCAGATTGAGTACACCGATTGTTCCAGCGTTTGGCAGTAGATTCGAATACATCCAATCGGGGGCTCACTATACGGGTCATATCACACCTTGAGCGATGATAGACTAACACCTGGGACCGTTCTTATTGCTCTGTGATAATGGACGAACTGTAGCACATTAAATAATGTTGTTTATAGTTTGTCCGATGCAAGTTTGCAGTGTTAAGAACCAAATGCTCAGCCACATTTACAAAAGTGTTCGTCTGTAATCGAAATAAATGAATTAAAATACTGTAACTTGGTGTCTGTCCATTTCATTGCAGTTTGTGTTGGACCAGTGAATTACACCAGATAGCTGCAGCACGAGCTCAACCAACAAATCGTGCTCGGCAGTAACGCACACCTCTGACTCATTTATGGCCCAAGGTAATTAAAATATTTTACATTTTCACGGTGGCTACCATGCCATATTTGGTGGTACATGCCAAGTAGAAACAATAGTTGTTGGTGATTTACATAAAATAACTAAAATATTATAGTTATAATTTGCAATGTGAATGACTCTTAATATTTCTTTACACTGTTGTTTTGCTGTTATTGCTGGACAATCGTAGCGTCTTAGCAGATTACGAGTGGACTTGCACAGGCTTGATGACAAGCACAGTTGTGGCTCTGTACCAGACCTGGGGTCAATTACAATAATGCTATTCATAATAAATGACAATCACAATTTAATTGTAATTTCAACTACGAATGCAGCTATAACTACAGTAATTACATTTGACCCCAGGTCTGTTGTATATAGCAGCACCTGTGCCGTGGACCGCATGTTTATCAGTCGAGTGCTAGGTGAGGGCCTCCTCACGCCATTCAGATCGTGGGGTTTATTTGACCATACTTCACTATGGTGTTCATTGTGGGTTGGTGGAGTGGGGAAACAGATGTGGGAGTATAGAAGTACAGTACCACAATGGATTATCCTTTACTGCCCTCCGATTCCCACCACTTTTTTCCCACAGCAGACTATAAAAACATGTTTATGCAAGGCGGTTGCCAATTAAAGAACTGGTCCAGGTTCCAACCTGCTTAACTTCCGAGGTCTGACGAGATAGTATGCATTATTGGTGATTTGGTCATGGACTCATTGCACAAGTATAGATCCCAATGCAGCAGTTTCTCTTCCATGTCAGGTGTTTGCCGCAGACTATTTTTGCAAAATAAACTTTACTAAATGGGGACTATAATTAAGCATTAATTCATCCGTTCAGATAGATCCTTATACTTGTGGTACATTTATACAATTTTGAGTGTAAAAATGTACCGTTTTGATCCGTACGTGTTTTCTGTACTGTAGCTTGTTCATGTGACCCTGCCACCAGAACAGGCATGACACGCACCACAATGTAGAGCTGGGACACATAATCAACTTCTTTAATCGACTATATATATTTATTGTTGATCACTTGAGCCCTTTAAAATGGTAGCCGCCTTAATATCCTGCCTGCAAAGGCTGGAAACCCCCTACAAACCATACTCAGCGTGACGCAGCTGAAGATGTCAATAATGTCACCAAACCCCACCCATTATATCTTGTATAGCAGAACACGTAAGAACAGGGGCAAATCTTTTTCAACAATTTTTGTATCGTCTGATTAGTTGAGTAATCGAGTTGACAATAAATTGAGTAATTAATTACTTCAAGAATCAAATTGCCTTAACTCTACCACAATGTGACAAATATATTGCGATGTGAATCGTAATAATTCATTGAATCGTAAGGAGAGCAAATCTTTACATGGCTAGTATCTATAATCCTGCTCTAAACTAAGTTGGTTATTTCAATGTGAATGTTACATTTTCAAGTATAATATCTGCACTTAATATATTTTATGTTATTTCAGACTCATCAATGTTTTATTCCACCACCGCTGTTCTTGTTGAGAAATATTGACGTATGACTTATGTTGGTCAGAGGCAGAACCTTGTCCCACTGAGCCATCCCTTCGGTCAAGTTGTCCAGTATGTCGACGACACAGGAGTCCATTCACGTTTTCATGCCGATCACTCTTCGGTTTCTCATATTACCCACCCCGGCTGTGATACAGGACGCTGAACATGAGATAAAGCCATGGCTGTAATTATTGACACTGCAATGGGTACAATGGTACACGACAGCCTGTTATGCCCGTATGCATGTCACGTCCGAGATAGTATTCGTTTACTTTTCAGTATGTAGCCTCTGTAAAATACCGTTAAAATTTTCATTCTAAAGTTTAATTAAGCTATGCACATGACCTTTCTGATCACAGGTTCCAAAGGCTCAAAACGCTCAGCTGCCAGCCGCAAACAGCACTGTTGAAGGTGTAGTGGATAAGGGTTAATTGACTTGAGAATGATTATAAAAACTTTGGAAGAGAGTTAATGGGAGGGAATTCAAAAGTTGACCTGCGTGAGAAAATAAACATGTTGATTCAGAGTCATGTGGTGAGTCCGGTACGTTTGGTAATCTGTTAATCATTTTGTAAACCTTAACGATCAGGACAGCGAAATAACGAAGCATTAACGCTATTCTATCAGCATAGTCGGGCATTAATAATATATAAAGCACTTAATGATGAACTGGACTCTTTTCAAGGCCCAATGCTCCAGATTGTCCTGGATTCGGGAATAAACTGGCTATGCATTTGTTGTAAAAGACGTAAATGTAAAAAAAAGGAACTGCTCTATTGCCCACCCAGTTCACAAGGGGAAAATACACGCCAATACAGTACAACGTCTGATATGCAACTCACTGGGGACTGTGACATTGGCGGGTATGTGAAAAGGTCAGATATGTGAACATCTATAGAATATAAAATGATAGTTGCACCGTGCACAATACAATACGCTGGGTCTGGGTGGTTTAATTGGTCAAGGCGGATATGTAATGGTCATCGCCGGAAATGGGAATAAATAATTTGGGGAACTCATAAATGCCCTTACCCCGCTAGACCAGGATCCCCTCCCCCCATCAGGACTATACCCTCCCCCAAGATCTCGATCTACAAACAGCCTGAATGCAAGGGGGCGGAGGACAGCGGACACCAGAATTGACGAATGCGTTAACTTTTTGTTCGCTTGTTTCAGCACAGTCAGTTTATAACAAAGCATATTCGCAGACCTTTGCATGTAGTTTTCCGTCAACGAATCTTTTCGAAGATCCAGATCGTGTCGGACGGACAGTTGCGAATTTTATATATATGGAGATATAGGCTTATGTAGACGTCCCGATCACTGCACTTGACCCTGGTTCTTTCCTGAACGACAGTAGGGTTAAAATATTCACACCTACCATGGCGTTCAAGCTCATTCTGGCCCATTTACACCCCTGATAATGGTTGGAAAAGCAACGTTGTACTCGTGGCCACCCACTTCCCTGCAATACCAGTAGAGCTGTTTACAAGTGAAATTAAGCATTTGGGCATTGCACACACCTGATCATGAGTAGAATAGGAAGTTTACATCATGGGGGGTGTTTGTAAGGAATGTTGTTTTGACTCATGTAGGTTTATGTATACAGTACTTCGATTGCCTCGAGGCTACACAATGCAAATTTTGTCTTACATGCTCCATCAATTCCACAGGAAGTTAATTAAAATGTGTATACAGCACCAGGATGTGCTGTTAAAAATGTACACAGCGTGTCCAGTTGTCGTTTGTAAGAAGGCGTTCGGCTCCTCAAAGGAGTTTGTGTTGCTAAATAAGACAGTTAACTAACTCGTTGCTTTTTCGCTTTGTGTGCATAATGATATATTTCTAACAACCACTCAACATGTGTACTGTATGTTGTTGAACTTCGGACCGTACGTAGCCGTCCGTGCTCGTCAGAGGTGCGGGGGAAGGACAAAACAAACGAAACAAACATAGCAACCTTGAGAAACGTGGCTTGTAATTAATGACAAGTGTAATTAATAATAGCATTAATTGTAATCACGTGAATGTAAGTACGTATACAATAAATACGAATTGCTCATTGCTCTTGGTGGTGTTATCATTGGAATGTCACGTGTGATCAACTTTGTGAAATAATAATGCTTCAAATACATTTACATCCCCATTGCATAGTTTCTACAGGTTTTGCCCTATGGTTATGCAAATTACATTCGGATGCACTGCACGAAGCACAACGTACATGGGAAAATACAGCGCATGGCGTTCAGTAATAATGTCAAAAGCATTACAGGAAATACAAGTAGGTAAATCTCCAACAAGAACTGTTCGCTTCAATAGACAAGTCAAAATGATACTTAAAACCCCCCTTGTGAAACTATTTAGTTCATTTATATGGCTTGCCATTATCACCATAATCATCTATTGAATGCTGGATAAAGTGTGCCCCACACCACTACCATCCTTCATGGTCCTGCGATGCATTCATTTGGGTGTCAACCTATCAATTTTGATTTTACTTGCCAATATCACCCTCGCAATAAAAAAATAAGTATGTAGGCATCAGTGCGCATTTCAGCAGAACGCGAACAATACAGGGGGCACGGAGCAACAGGAACGGAAACAGAAACCCGGCACGACCCAAGCCTCTAACAGTGACTGAGCAAAATAAATTGCAACCGCACGCAAAATAATGTTTACGTGCACAGCGAGTAGCGTAAGAAAGGTGAGATTGTAAATAAAATAAAAAAACAGGAAACGAGGTTTTTTTTTGTTAATTTCATCATTTTTTCCCTTATGACATTTTGTGATTTTATGGGAAGGCAAGTCGGAGCAGATGTGTCTTGCACTTTTCTTGAGTCAAAATAATGTCCTTAACGTGCGTACGGTGTTTAATCCACGTGTGTTCCTCTATCTCGGTACAATACCATGCTTGTTTGCACACTTTTCAGCTACAGTATTCTGTTTTTTTTATCTGTCAGGTTTTTAATACATGATGGCAGGTTTCATAGAATTATGGAACACTTTCTTTAGGCACGTGTAAAAGTAATATTTGTTAAATATATTGCCAGCTTAGGGGCCGTCCATAAATGACGTCACGCACCTGGGGGGGGGGGGGGGTCAGACATTTGTGACGATGTGTGACGAGGGGGGGGGGCGGTTTGAGAAAAGTGACATTACATCAAAATGCGCAACTTTCAATAAATATAGACAACACGTTCTACTTAATTAAATAGACTTTTTAAATAAATGTGTTCTCTTACAACATCAGAGTGCAGCGCCACATTAAATACGCACTACAATGACAATAGTTTAAAGCGATTTGAAGCATGTTTTATTTTCAAAATGGAAATATGGTTTGGGGGGGGGGCAGAGCTTTGTGTAGTCATATAAAATCGCATTGACGTCATTTATGGACTACCCCTTATTTGCATTCTGCTGTGTGGTCATATGGGCAAGTCCTGTCTTGTATGTTTATGGTAACAGTACACTCTCAAAAGAAGTAAAGTTACTTTCATGTTTACATATACTGTACTGTAGAGCATTTCCTCATAGACTGGTTATATTTGATGCCAGTATTTGTATCACTAATGTAAAAGTTTGGTGCCATCACTCTGAAGGTGACAATAAACTCACGTTTTTTTATTGTCAGTTGTGTTCAATAGGTCGAGTTAATCTATTTCTAAACGATGAACTACATGTAACAGTACAATTTAATTTTGATTTAAAGCTTTCGTGACTGCAGGGATTCACATTCTTGGTTCTTTCGGTAAAGTCACGTAGAAGGGAAACAATAAAATAATAAAAATAAAAATCTAAAACAATAAAATTCTCACGACGTTTCGACTGCAACACAAGCAATCATCATCAGGTGTGAAAACCACTTTTTTCAAATTTTCTTGCTGTGGTTTTCAATACAATTTAATGTTCATGTTAAATTTGCACATATATACTGTAAAATGATTGCAATACGTTTTAATGTACTTGCGTTGAAACGAAATACTTATATGGCTAATATAGAGGCCTGCGTGAATTCTAAATTCAATTGAAAAAAATCCCAATAGAAAAAAAGTTGTCTATTTTTTAGAAGCAGAATTGGGTCTTTAACAATGACGTTTTTATTTTTTTCTTTAACGATTGACTTTGGAACATTCCACCAAATCCAACGAATCGCCACGGTGCTGCTTATCCCCTCTGACCATTTACAATACAGCGGTGTTGTGACGCGTGGTCAGCTGAGTGTCACAGCATCACCCCGACCATAGCTACCGGGCTGCTCGGAAGTTAAAGAGCAACCAGAGTTCCCATCCACATCACAAGATGACACCTATGAACACCCAGACGGTTTAACCTATATTCTTGTACAGGGAAATTGAGTTTTCAGGTCCATGTGGCGTACAGCCGTTTCAAGACGGGCAAAACATTTGTTTTTTGTCTATTTCTTTGTGTTTCTCCCCTGTGATTGGACTTTGTAGGATGAACATTGAGATGTATAAGGGCAGGGGGTGACCAATAAGGTCTAAATTGGTCTTTAATAAGGTAGGCAATGATAAGGAGTTTACAGATATGCAAGCTTGGAATAGAACCATCGCTTGAAGCACACACACACGTGATAATCACTGTATCTATGTGTAATGACGACTTGACACACTTCTCTTGAGATGGCACTTTATTGAAGACGCGTTCACTTGACATCGCTGGAGACCCCACCGCGCATCCCCCTTATATACTGAGGCCACCCCCCCTTCCCGACACTTCTCGCTGACTGGACGCTCGCTCCACCGGCAGACTCCACTGTCCTCTTCCGTCACCTGACCACGCTCCTTTCTCGAACATTCCTGTAACCACCAGTCCCTTCTTCGCACTCAAAACTGATACCCCTGTCAATACCTCCCGTGGCCACTAGTCCATTCGTACTGCAGGCTAACTCCCCTGTCATTACCTCCCGTGGCCATTAATCCATTTGTACTGCAGGCTGACTCCCCTGTCATTACTTCCCGTAGCCACTGGTGCATTCGTACTGCAGGTTGACTCCCCTGTCAATACCTCCCGTGGCCACTAGTGCATTTGTACTGCAGGCTGACTCCCCTGTCATTACTTCCCGTGGCCACTAGTGCATTCGTACTGCAGGTTGACTCTCCTGTCATTACCTCCCATGGCCACTAGTGCATTTGTACTGCAGGCTGACTCTCCTGTCATTACTTCCCGTGGCCACTAGTGCATTTCTACTGCAGGCTGACTCCCCTATCATTACCTCCCGTGGCCACTAGTGCATTTGTACTGCAGGCTGACTCCCCTGTCATTACTTCCCGTGGCCACTAGTGCATTCGTACTGCAGGCTGACTCCCCTGTCATTACCTCCCGTGGCCACTAGTGCATTTGTACTGCAGGCTGACTCCCCTGTCAATACCTCCCGTGGCCACTAGTGCATTCGTACTGCAGGCTGACTCCCCTGTCAATACCTCCCGTGGCCACTAGTGCATTTGTACTGCAGGCTGACTCCCCTGTCATTACTTCTCGTGGCCACTAGTGCATTCGTACTGCAGGCTGACTCTCCTGTCATTACCTCCCATGGCCACTAGTGCATTTGTACTGCAGGCTGACTCTCCTGTCATTACCTCCCGTGGCCACTAGTGCATTTGTACTGCAGGCTGACTCCCCTGTAATTACCTCCCGTGGCCACTAGTGCATTCGTACTGCAGGCTGACTCCCCTGTCATTACCTCCCGTGGCCACTAGTGCATTCGTACTGCAGGCTGACTCCCCTGTCATTACTTCCCGTGGCCACTAGTGCATTCGTACTGCAGGCTGACTCCCCTGTCATTACCTCCTGTGGCCACTAGTCCACTCACACTGCAGGCTGACTCCCCTGTCAATACCTTCCGTGGCCACTAGTCCACTCACAGCGCATGTAGGCTCTACTGTCATTACATGTGTATTACGTTCAATGAGAACAGTGCTGTACATCGCTAATAGCTCAGTGAGATTTTACATGTTAAAGTAAAAAAATGTGTTCGAGACTTGTTTACCCCTTTCTCGATATTGCACTCCCGATAGTCTTTTGATATTGCTTGTTGTTGTAAATTTTTTTACCCGCCCCTACTGGACAAAAAGCTTTATAGCTCATCGGATTCCTCCAGTGTAAATATGATGATTCGAAGCAATTTTGTGAAGCCAATGGAACGCAACTCGTCCGAGGAGATGCTGCTTGTGTTGGGGTCATTAACGCGGCTGGATCGTTCGAGAATAGGCGGTGGCTTGGGGGTGACCTTCATCCAGCAGTGGAATGACCAAGGCTGATGATGTCCAGAATGGTGATATTGATTTAAACTGGAGAAATCCGATGAGCCGTAAAGCTCTTTTTTTCTCACAGATGTCCAGTAACGGTAAGAACGTTTCGACCATACAAAAACACGATAGGAGTGCAAAAAAATACACAGGAATAAAACTAAACATTTATTTTAAAATCTTATCAACACGTATATGTTGTAGGTGTGCATCATAATTATTACTATTATTGCCATTGACCGCCAACGCGGGTTCGTCACCGTCTTCAACATCGTTATCATTTCAACAAAATACTGAATACCGTATGTCTCAGATCACGCGGAGCTCCGGAAAGTAAGACGCACCCAAACTTACGCCCGGTGTCAATAACAAACAATAAAAACTCGTCACTCGGAAACACACACACAAATATATGTAACAGATTAAAAGACGCAACCTCGCCAAACTTTTGGTTTAACCCGAGTGAAAATTACTCATCTTTAATTACAATGTATCTCACGATCAAGAGAATACGGTAATAAATTATGTTAAGTTTATGCTAATTATACGCGGGGGGGGGGGACCAGATGGGCGGGGGTCCAACGGGACGTGCGGGTTCACGGACAAGGGCGTGGCCGCGCATAAATTAACGTAACTTAGCATAAATTAACATATAATTGACGCGGCCCACTCGTAGTAGTGGTGGTGGGGGGTGCCGAGCGGGTGTGTGACCGCGGCGCCATTTTGTCGCAGGGTGGCTCGAAGCGCTGCCGCCGCCGCCGCCGCCGCTGCCGCTGGCGCTCTGCCCCGTCTCCTCTCGCTCTCTCAACTCGCTCCACTCCTCCTCCTCGACTCGTCGGTCCGTCGCCTTCGAACCCTTTCTTTTGAAGCGTTCCCAACCCTCGCAAATCTTTAAGGCTTTTCTAACCCCCTCTATCAACCCACAACCCCCCACCCCCCTTCACCCAGCCACCCGCCCTTTGCCGATCGTCAGTCGCGCTCGCAGCCTGCGTCTTTGACATCGCCGCGTCGTCTTCTTCGTCGTCTTCGTCCTTCTTCGTCGTCTTTCTTCTTCGCCGCTCGCTCGCTCGGCTGTGCTCGGCTCCGTCGGCGGTTCACGCGGGGGGCCCACGGGGAGGAGGGCCGCTAGTCCCGGGCGGGGTTTGCGTCCGTAGATTTTGGAGCAGGCCTCGTCGGTTCCCGCTCTTGTTGGCGACGTTCCCTTAGTTTAGTAGTTGTCTCTTTAACACACACCACACATACATACATACACACTCATCCCGCTTTCTACCTTTGTTTCCTTTATTTACTCGTTTTGTTCGTAGTTGTGTTTGTTGTTCAACTGTTGTCGGTGGTTTCCGTAGTATCGGCTTTGCCGTCGTTTTAATTGGTGCCGTAGTGGTTGGCTCGCTGCTGCTGTTGCTGCTGTGTTGTTGGTGGTTGTTGGTGGTTGTTGTTGTGGTCGTCGTCGTTTCTCGATTCGAGACGGGGCCCGGCTTGTTCGCTGTTGTCGCGGCAGCAGCGCCCCGTTTGTTTGCTCGTAATTGTTATCGTTGCCATCGTCATTGTTCCGATCGGTCGTGTCGCCGTGCCCCCAACTCTGCTCGATCTCCGTCCGTCGTTTTGTCCTCGCCGCCGCTCGGTTTTCTTGTTCTCCGCCGGCGCGGGTTTCGCTCTTTCCCCTTCCGTCGTCGGTCGCTCGCTCGGTCGCCACCACCACAACCGCCGCCACGATGGCCGGCAACTTCGACGCGCACGACCGCGATAGTTGGTACTTCGGGCCGCTGAGCCGCGTGGAGACTCAGCGACGTCTCCAGGGCCAGCGGCACGGCACCTTCGTGGTGCGCGACTCGACCACGTGCCCGGGCGACTACGTGCTCTCGGTGAGCGAGAACTCCAAGGTGTCCCACTACATCGTCAACAACCTCGCCGACCGCTTCAAGATCGGCGACCAGGAGTTCCGCGACCTGCCCGCTCTGCTCGAGTTCTACCGCATTCACTATTTGGACACCACCACGCTCATCGAGCCCGCGGTGAAGGCCACGGGGGGTCAGGGGCAGCAGGTGCCCGCGACGCCCGCGGCTGCGGCCACGGCTCGTCACCACCTCGACTACCAACTTCAGGGCCAGTCGCCTTCGCCGCCAGCCTCGAAGAAACATCAGCAGGGTGGTGGCGGCGGCGGCGGCAGCGGCGGCGGCGGCGTTGACGAGAGCGTGGAGTTTGTGCGAGCCCTCTTCGACTTCCCCGGCAACGACGAGGAGGATCTGCCCTTCAAGCGCGGCGAGATCCTCACCATCGTCGCTAAGCCCGAGGAGCAGTGGTGGAGCGCCCGCAACAAGGAGGGTCGCACGGGAATGGTGCCCGTGCCCTACGTGGAGAAGGCATCGCGGCCGCTTTCTTACGCCGCCTCGTCCATGGCACCGGGCAACCGCAACAGCTACGGCTCTGGCCAGGGCGGTGACCAGGGGCCCTACGCGCACCCCCTGGCCATCGGGCAGCAGCTTCCCAACCTGCAGAACGGGCCCGTCCTCGCCACCGTTATCCAGAAGCGAGTGCCCAACGCCTACGACAAGACGGCGCTCGCGCTAGATGTGAGTGGCATGGGTGGTGGTGGTGATGGTGTTTGTCAGGGACGGGCGAGGTTTCTCGCATCAGCAAAAGTAGTCGGCAGGCTTTTACATATTGACCCGGGTTATGAGTTGGGGTGCGTTTAGTGTTATATGGGAGTCATGCTTGCGATGTTTTATTACTTTTTGAAAAGTGTGATTTTTATTTTTTGCCTGGGGGGGGGGGGGGTATTCACATTTGTATGTTTCCATAGGACACCCGTTAACATTTTTTTAAGTGATGGTCTAGTGGTAGTGCGATCAATCAAGCGACTTTCTGAACTGACCAACGTGGTGTCCCGGAAAGGCTTGTCATTCGTCAGCGGATTGACAAAACACCAACAAATATTATTGATAAATTAAACGTCGCCAGCTTGATCTTTTACGGCGGTGTTATTGACGAATGAGGGTGGGTTTTTTTTATTTACTGAAAGTTCTGGAAGCGTTGCGTCATGCAGCCGGGGGAGGTGGGCATAGGTGTGAAGCAAATCCGACGCGAACGTAAATACCTGAGTGCTTTGGGAAACGACCTCAAGACGTGAAGGCGGCGGGGCAGTTGCGAGAGACCCAAGAGGGAAGAGTGATTTAAATAATGGGGCTGCCGTCTCGCAGGCGGCAAACGCGGGCACTGGACGCAATGTTTCTTGGAATAGGGAAGGAGCGTGCTTAGAATTGACCTGAACCGCTACAGTTTCGACAAACTTCTAGCCACCAAAAGGCACTGTGCAGATTTGTCCATCGCATGATACTCGCGTGTCACGTTTGTCCCGTGGACACGCTTGTTTGATGTATTTTCTCCCAAGGGGTTATTGTCTTTGAATAGCTTAGATTTTTTTGTTTGACTTGGTTTAGTACAAAAGTTTTGTGTGGTTATGTAATGGTCTGGAGTGGTCCGTTCTAAAGGAAAATGGGCGGCAGGGTGGCACATTGGCAACATTTGTGCCTCTCGGCAAGAAGGGCCTGGGGTCGATTACGACTCAGACGAGTTGTGTACTGTTTCCTCCCCAAGTTATATGATTTTCCCCATAAGGTAAAAACCGTACAATGTAACTTGGCCAAGTGTCCCAACTGCTGAAAAGCTACCTGCAAATTACTCGATTGGGATTACACACAGCCGCATTAACCGTTCCTGTAAGAACTTTGCAGGCCTCTCCAGAAAACGAGTTTTGAGGCTTTACGTGGGTTAAACGTGTAAAATAAATCGTACGCACGTGCACAGTTGCCAGGTCGAGTGCGGTGGCAGAGTTCGTTGGCCTTGGTCGGTTGGTGACACTGACGGATGGTAATGCGATTGTACATTACGTGGTGGCCTTAATGTGATAGCTGCTGGAATTGGGTGCTCTTGCGAAGGTGGCCTACCACGGAAGATCATTTAAATTATCGATAACTGTCGGCCATTCTTGGGTAGATCATAGGTTGAGTCTGGGTTAGTCTCTACACGTCTTACAATTAATTAGCCCCTGTGAGATGCTAAGTCCTTGGGGTTTTAGTCGTTTGGTTAAGATTTTCAAGTAATTATTTTAGGGCAGTTATCCTTTATGCTTGTAAACAGAGTGCTCTTTGAGGTTAGTTTCTGCGTCTGATGGCAGGATATGATGTGTGTACATGGAGTAATAAAGCTAACAACGTTAAAGGTTGTGTACACGTGGTGAAATACGTGACAAAAGTAGAAAGAACAAAAATGGATATTGTTGACCAGCCTCATTTAAATGTGGCTTTTCAAGCTTTGGTGTAAAGTGTTTGAGCTTACGAAACGGGGTTTAATTTTAAATTGGAAACCGTTTTCTCAAGAATCACGTCAAATTTAAATGAGGTGTAATTAGGCTTTTGTGCAACAGCACAAGTGTGGTTCATTTGTGCCATTGTACAGATTACTCGTCACTTTATATGGCTTTTTGGTCTGCCTGTTTACTGCATCATGATACCCCATCTCATGACTGTCCATCTAGAGAAATGAAATGCTTACATTAATGTTGGGTCTCTGTGCCAGGAGTAGAACAATATCTTTAAATCGGTAAACGTGCACAAATAAAAAGGGGCTGTGTTTACGGTTGATTCAGCAGTCTGGTATGTCGATGTGGTACAGAGTCACTTGTAGCGACAATTCTGGCACCTGGCAGCGAGGCTGTGGCCTTCACAATGTTGTGACTGTCAATTTGTGGGTGGATTTATGAAGAAAGGCTGCCGATTAAAAAGGTAACTCTTGACGGCTAAGGTGCCGAACAGATCGAAATGGTGGCTTGTCCTTCTCCTTGTGAAGGCTTGCCACATACCGAGGCATGCAAATGCACTCCCCGGCACACCCGCCTCCGGCTTTTGGTGCCTGCCCTGGTAATTCGCGGCAGCAACAAAGATTCCTTAAATGAAATCCTGTCGTGTGCTGCAGCGCTTGTGAAGGCAACACCACAAATCAAAGTACAGCCGCTTAACCTGGTGTGACCTCTGCCAAGGGATGGCTTCCTGCTTTGAAACTGGATGGGAGGATTCCAAGCAAAATGGACAATTCGCTGTATTAAGAGGGTAACGGTTATGGTTTATGCTGCTCAGTGGAAGGATGTTTTAATATTGTTTTTGGTACGCACATTGAATAGAGATGTTTATTTTCATTAATTGTTTTTGTTTCACCTTTTTCTTTTTATCACAGATTGGTGAGGTGGTCACGGTGACGAAGATGCACGTCAATGGGCAGTGGGAAGGGGAGGTGAATGGCCGAAGGGGCCACTTTCCCTTCACGCACGTGCGGATCATAGACCAGGCCAACCCGGAGAACTCCTGATGGATGCGACCCTTGCCGTCCTGGCCGTTATTGTGTTCTTTCAGCCAGACTCTAAAACTGTGACTTTCAATGGATATTTTTTTGTTTCTAATGAAACTTAAAGGCAAGCACGAAAACACGTGGACCTAGTCAGATGTCATCTTTGGTTGAATGTCTTTTTGCCGTGAAACCGTCGAGACCGTCCCACGTCGATGGGTGATGGACACCCATGATGCGTTCGTGTGCCCTCGGGCAGTGGGACTCGCCGGGTAAAGGACTGCATTGGAAGAAGGAAGATGCGTTCAGAGTGCAGAACTTGTGTCCGTAGGGCTAAACATTTCTCTTGCTGTAACTGCCATTTGTAATAATGTGGAGAGATTTAATGGTTCTTAATTATCATTATTAACGACAATCTTTTAGTTTTCTACAACAATTCCATTTGTTCTAAGCTTTATAAACCAAAATTACAGTCTTTGCAAGGTGAACTTTTTTTGTATAACTGATTTCTTTGGGTTTCATAATTATTAATACTGTATCTTATTGGCAGTTTTTAACTTTTTATACCTCTGGTCAAAATGTATTTTTTAAGTGATGACTTAACTTGAAAGCTGACTCGTTGGTATCCTTGAGTTTTTTTCCTTGCATTCAGTAACAACTGCAATGCGCGCATATGTGCATTAAATCATGCCAACAGTACTGCCGCGAATTTTTAGTGCCAGTGTGGCTGCACTGTCGTGCATTCTCCACCGCTCGCATGTACTCTCCAGGGGTATGCGTGACAGCTTGTCTGTTACCACATTGCCAGCACACAAGCAGATATTTGAGCAGGTTAATTGGAGTGCTTTCTGTGCCTTTAACTTATTGCTGTAAATGCAGGCTTTTCTTCTGCATTGCTGTTGATCGGGAAGACTGATGAACATTTTGACTGTCTGCAGCATCCGATGTGACCCTTTCGGCGGCGTATGGTACTCATTGTTGGTCTGTTCGTTTCATGTTCGTACTGACCCTGTCAGACTAGACCAAATAGACATAGGGGGCACAAAGATCGTTTGACCATAAGATTCTGCGGCACATGTCGCTTGCGCCACTCTAACATCGACTGTGTGCATATCATCCGGCTGTTTAAAGGGAACCGTCTCAGTGCTGTACCGGACCAGGTTTTTCTTTGCGAGCTGGTTGTGAGGTGTAGCTGTCCTCTGGTAGTGCTTGTGTTTGAATGGTGGACAAGAGCCTTACAAAGCGCCATTTGCTTGTATGCCAAATCAGGTCTCTTAACTGTTATGTACATTGTGGTAGATCATGGTTATTAATGGTACATTGTGTACATGAGTAATATAAATGCATTCACGAGCTGCTTTTATAATTGGGGGCACTAAAAAGTGAAGAAAATAAATGCAAAATAAACTGGCACGTCCCAAGTTTTATAAGTTGTTTTATAAAACGCGTAGGATTTAAGTCCATTAACAGTGACCAAATGCGGACCAAGGTGGTGGCTTCCTCAAAACAACTCTGATGGCACTTTAATATGTTGGTGTTGCTTTCTGCGCACCATCTTGGCATGCTTGGGTACATCAGGTGTGCTCTACAAACCCGGTTTGACCTTTTGCAAGCAGTGCCAATGAATGAGATGCTGAATTGCTGTGGTCATTTTGACGAATGCAGGAGGAAAGAAGTGAGCCTGAGCATCCAGATAATTTTTTAATGCCCCGAGGCAACGATTCACGCTTGGCCTCGCATGTTGTTGGGTATGTTGTATGAAATTGTACCGTAAAGAAATGTATTTTCAAAGCAGCATGTAACATGCATTGTTCATTTGTACGCAATGAGCTATGAGTAAATGGTTGAAAACTAAATGTTTACTCCTTGCTTTGTGAACGGCCTGAAAAGAAAACCGTTTGTGAATTATATTTTGTAGTGCACTATATGGGTTACTGGGACAGGATGAAGCAGGTTGAGGAAGCCAACTTACTGATATCAGTTCTTTGAGGTTTCAAGTCTCTTATGTTCAAATAGGTGATGTTAAATGAAAAAAATGTATACAAACAACTTGTGCTGTTTGCGAACTGGTTCAAATATTTCCTTAATATTTTAAGAAGTCAATGCATATAGAGTACGTTAAATAAGTTGTCAATAAGCTTCACGTGGTTGATTATAAGCATTTAGTTATAATCCAGGGGAATGCAGTACTGTAAAAAATTAACACATTTCATAATACCGGTTTGTAGCTGTTGACGAGATCCAGTGTCTCAGAAAATGTTACTTCAACCACCACACCGCGGGTCTAAACTTTTTAATTCCCCCCCCCACCTAGTACTATTTTGCTTTGCAATTCCTTCCCATAAATTTTGTTCCAAAGTTCTTGTAATATTGCTCCATTTTAAGAAACGTGAACTGTCTGATACCTTCAAATGTGTTTATATATGGCAGTTTGGTGCTTTGGGCCTGTGCTCAGCAACTGTGACAATAAATTCTGATCTGAATTTTCTTATTTCTGCCAACATTTGATTGGAAACCCTAGTTGCAAGTATTCGTTTTGCCGTACCGAACAATGCCTTTTTTTAAAACAAATTACGTCTTCAATAAACGAGTTGCAAAAATTCAGCAGCTTCGCCAAACGCGGCGCTTACGCTAAAACAAGCAAGCAAACCCACAGAGTGTGCCAGCAACCTAGGCGAGATTGCTGCTGTGCCAGAGCCCGCGTTCCGTGCGTGATGACCACAGCAGACAAGCCCCGACTGGACTCGTGTTCTGCTGGCGGACAGGCGAGCGCCGCGGTGGGCGTTGACGGTGGCCTGTACGCGCAGGAATGCGTGGCCCCGAGTTCAGACATCGCCCCCCACTGCCCCACCACACCCACCCACCCACCAAAGTCGCTGAGCTCAACGACAACGGAAGCCTCCCTCCCACCCCCAACTCGTAACGTCCCAAGCATCCGCCTGATTCACCCGCTCGCGTGCTTGATCTGCACACGCCACCTGTACGGACGCCGCAACGCGCCCCCCTTTTTAACATTCGGGGGGACATTGCCAGGCATGTACGGCATGGCACTGCGCTAGTTAGAAAATTGACAAATCCACTGCTGGATGAAGGCTTGTCCACGTGCGATTCGTAGCGGATATTTGACCGTACTTCAACGCTCTGGTTGGTGCGGGTTGAATGGTGGGGGAGCTTATAGTACAGAAACAACCTTGCAGCACTAAACTGTCTGCTGACAATGTAGCCCCTACCACAGAAGCCTATAACACCTGTTTATGCTTGGTGGTCGCCCATAAAATCACTGTTCAGGCTCAAACTTGATTAGTATCTGAGGTATGAGATCAGATGCATTCCGGGTGAATTGGTCATCGACTTCCGGGGATGAGCGCCTAATTTCACGCGCGCAATGCGGTTGCTATCTCTTAGTAATTGTATTACACGACTGTGTTCGTGCCTTGTTTACACGGGCACCCAATTAAGCTTGGTTACGGATTTAACAATGTTTTAACGCTTGTCTTAAAATTCAAGTGTTAGTCGATGCTTATTTGCTCAGTTTCATTTGTGCTAGTGAACAGTAAATAACAAAACCCCTACTGTTGCAGCGCAAATGGCATTCTTCAAGAACCACGGATCATGCTCACAGACTCGTATTGACCCAGTTGCTGGAACTGCATCAAATACGCGACCACGTGATTGCATTTTTTATTGTAATTTAAAATGTGAAGCCGTTAAAACTACTTTAATTCACTTGGGGAGATTTAAGTTCACGATGTCCTCCCATACGTGTAGTAACAAAGGTAATTTCCAGCTCTTACAAGTGCATTTTGCAAATAGCATTTGAACGATGAACGGCAGAGGTTTTATTAAAACGATACCAAAATGATATATATAAAAAATTGGAATACGATACTGTAATAAAACCACGACTGAAGGCATTTCCACTGATTGGTGATGAGGGTTATCTGACTGTACTTCAGCACGCTAGTCAGTGTGATAGCCTCAAGGCATATAATACACAGCTGTTTTGTTAGTCCACTCCTACTAAAGTCATATCCATGCCATGTCATCCACAGGGATTGTTATACCATACAACACCATGCTGCTCAGTGCTATACTTACACTATGGATACGCATGTAAAATTGTAGATTACTGTACCAAAAATCTTGGCATAAGTATAATAATTGCACAAGTAATGTAATACATCAGTATTTTAAATTTTAACGCAAACATGCGTTTCTGTCCCAAACGCATTCACTCTGTTCAAATTCCCATCACGCAACGAATAATGTCTGCTGGGCAGCAATTCAAAACAACAAGGGCGTACGGACACACCGAGACAGTCGTCAAGAGAAAGGCGAAGTTAATTCGGAGAAAGCTTAACTGAAATGTTTACAAATGAAGCGCGTTGCCCGTGTACAGGTGGAGAAATTGGTCATTCACACGCAACTCACTGGGCACACATGTCTGAAACTTGCAAACTTTATTTGGCCATTACATCCGGAACCCTAAGGGTTGGGTTTCCCAGAAAGTGGCTGTTTGGATCATTGCGCAACACAAAGTACGCGCAAGTTAAAATGCCACACCTGTACGGGTGGGTGGGTGGGAAGGGAATTCTTACCTATGCAGAACCGCTCCGTCATTTTGGAAAACAAGCAAAAGCGTCTGTTGAGATATATATTTATATATGTAAAGAACAAAAAAAATAGGTGGAGTGGTGGTGCGGTGGTTAGCACACTTGCGCTGTGAACGCAGCAAGAAGAGTTTGATTACCAGCCAGAGTTAACATCGATGGGGAGTGAGATCTGACCCAGTCTTGGGCCCTCTTTTTCAACCCGCACGGACCAGTGTGGTTAAGTATGATCTAACAACCCCCCCCCCCCCCCCACCATTGACACAGCACGAAACCTTCCAGCAGTAGATTAACAACATAAATTACATGTTTATAAATATTTAAACGGTAGTTAAACTCTTGTAATGTTGACTTTACATGCAATACATAATTTTCTGTGTTAAGGATACGTCAAATGGTGTCCTTGCTCAGACCATAAATTGGGTCACACTCGCCTCTTTTGCTCGTCCTGAGCTTCTGGAAATTCCAGATTTCCATCGCCGGGACTAAGTAATTGATACAGCACTGTCATGTTTTCACAAAGTAGTTACAGTGCTTGTTTTATTTACCCAAGAGTCGTGGTAAGCAAAGTCGGCCCTTGACTGCGATTTCAGCTCACAATATACCGTTGACGAGTCGAGCAAGCTAACCAATGTCGAGCGGCCGAATTAATGCAGAATTACCACCATTACAACAATGCCAGTATACTTCCATTTTATAATATGTATGTAGATGCTATGTGAAACGTATGACAAAATCACATAGAATACACCATCTCAAAAGCCAAGCAAGGATGGGCCTGGGTAGTACTTGGATGGAAAACCACCATGCGTACCATTTATAGGATGTGACATTGTGGTGGGCAGCAGAGGGAAGTTCAGAAAATTAATCATTTTACTTTCATGCTCCTGTGTCTATGTATTCTTTTCGCCTTCATCAACCCACTGACCAGCGTAGTGGAGAATGGTGAAATAGCACCCACAACTTGCAGTGGGGAGGGGGAGGCCCTCATCCAGCAGTGAATTGACAAAGAAACTGTACATGTACGCCCCATGTGATTATAGAATTGTGACAGTCATGCCTTTGCATTTTACAGCATCTCGGGAAATGTAGTTGGAGCCGATTCTATGCAGTTCCTGTACATCACGCATGACAACTTGCCCAGTCAAGCATGGAAGTTTCATTTTGTGAAGTGCTCATTAATGTAGGCAGCAAACGTAGTTGCTACTGCCCAGTCTCACTGTGAGGATGGTAATGATTCACCTTGCCTGCCATTCATGAATTGTCATGACTCATTTATATTTTCTATACTTTATTTCACGGTCTATTTGGTAATATTTGTAATTTTCTTCGTTGATCGAGTTTCGTTCACTCCAGAAGCTTAAATGCAGCATTAGCATATAATCTGCATACATTGGAATTTCTTATACAATTCATGTTTCGTGAGCATAAGATTGTATGCATGCATCCTGACAATCAGAATTAATTTTGATTAATCATTCCATGTCTACTCAATATTCAAGAAGCATTTACAGCGAACAAGTCAGCACCCCGATATATAAACTGCAGGATGCACAGTATCTTTAATTGGATTACTATGCTTACCAAATGCAACGCCTCATGCGTAACCAAGTCTGGCTAAGTAAGGTTCCAAACAGCATGGTTAGCCAACACTGCAAAGCTTGACCCTGATGGTTTTCCAACATAGATGCAGTGTATGGTTGTGGCACGTACATAAACAAGGCATCTTTTAAAATAAGGAATTTATCCTTTGTTTCCAACCTGTGGGTTCCATCAGCAGGCCCGGATGCAGCTATCCTGACCGGCAGCCACTTTTTACGTGGCCCAAAAACGTGTTTCACTATGAATAGAAAACAAAGTCCCGACATGGTTTCAAAATAATGTACAGTATCTTCACGACACATTTTACAAATTTGATATATTCCTCAAGTTGTAAAAATAAGTCAGATATTAACTGTTTTTACACTCATAATTTCCTACATCTACACATCAATTTCATGCTCTTTCAAATGTTTTGCAACAGAATGCTTAGCATTATAAATACAACCTATTTGCTTTAAACATCTGTATTCATGCCTTCACATATGCTGCCCAACCTTCATAGGCCCTAGACCACTGGTCACCGATTTAAGTTTTACTAAACCAGAACAAAAACAGCTTTCTGTAGGCCCTGACACCTTTTAAGAATAAACTTATAACAGTGCTGCCACCTGACCAAACAAACACAATCCAGTAAAAAACATAACATTTTGGAATGGATTGAAAATGTATGTTCATTAAATGCATTTGCTTACAAATTAAATGGCACCAAAACTGTAAGGACTTTTAAACAATCACCCTATGCATGGTTAATATCTACATATTATATTCATTATGCTTATTTGCTCAGGAAAGCCTAATTAATGATAACAACTTTTTCGGGGGGGGGTGGGGGTGTACTGCCAAGTTGTGCAGACGGGGACGATGATTGCTTCGTATAATCCCAGTCAGGGGCGGAGCCAGGATTTTCAGCCCGGGGTGACATTCAACAAATTTTAATTTCAAGAATGATTAGAGAGTCAGGATGTTGAACTAGACGCCATCGGTTGGCGACACACTCTGACAATGCAGTTGCACGAATTCCGCCAGACCGAGTGTCGTACACTTATACGCAGAATATTTCAGATTTTCGATTTTTAATTTTTTTCGGGGGTGACAATTGTCTACCCTGTCACCCCCCTGGCTCCGCCCCTGATCCCAGTAATTTGTGCGAATTTTTTTTCTTCCCAAATCTGGACCTGGACACACTGCCCTACTCTTGCGAATGACATCACGTGATCTTTAAACGTCCACTGTGAAAAAGACAATATTTTCATAATTTATGGTAAATACAACTGCGGTAATAACCAGGGCGGTCGCTGGGCTTCAAACCATGAACAACAGCATGGCGAACGCGCTCCCACTACGCTGTGGCACCGCCCACCTACTACTGTAGGATGTTGCTACTTTGGTTAACAAATTATAGAAAAGGGGAAATATTTTTCCGTGAAAAGAAAAAAAAAGAGTCAACGTTTCACTCTGCAGTTCTTCCTATTCGTAGGAAATAATTTCCTTGTTTTTAAATTGTACTTATTTTGGAAGCATGTCTTGTATAAAAAAAAATGCTGAAAAAAATGCAATCCAATTTTTTTTTTAAATAAACATTTGCAATAATGTTTGTCAATAGGGTTTAAAGATGAGTATTTTGGCTCAAACATGAAAGGCACAGTATACATGCTATTTGATTATTCACTGAGCTCCACAGCTACGTGTTCTCCGGTGCCGCGGTCGAAGGTAATGAAACATGCAGCTCATGCAGTTTAGCGGTTTCCTAACCATATCATCTTCAGCTTACATTGACCCAAGTGTAATACCAAACCATGGCTGTCATGCTGCGGTGCTGGAGTAAAATGCCCCAAACACCTGTAAACACAGGCTCCGTTACTTTGTACAATGGAAGCCTAAGAAAATGATGTTACGAAAAAGCATTTAAAACCACATTAAGACAATGGTGAGAAGTTATACTAAAACGAAGTATTTCTCAAACCCCAGTCCTCATGACCTGCCATGATACAGCTGTGATTATTACTACCGGATAATTACTACCACAAGCCTATGACCAAATCACCTGGAATGCACTCAATGTAGTCAGATCTCCGAAGCTAAGCAAAGGAAAGCCTTGATGATACTTAGCCAAGTACCAAGCATAACAGGTATTATCGACTGCTGCTGGACTATCCTGAGAATAGCAGAGCACAATGCAGCAAAATCCTTCACTATCCTCCAATGTTTTTCTTCATGCATTCACCAACGTGGGGAAGTACGGTCAAATAACCCCGATGACCCCATACAGTGTGGGGGGGAGGTCGCCCTCATCCTTGAAAAAACGGCAGCACATGTACATTCACAACCAGCCCACTAGTTTTGATTTGCATAAGGATGGAAAATATTGGTAATTCTGTGCAGGTGCATAATGGGGGGTTATGAGGACTGGCATTTGGGAAACGGTGGCATATCACACTCGAGCACATACACACACGCACGCACATTGCGCACACGGAAGTGAAGAATAAAAACTTCACGTTGAGGGAACAGTTAGTGGTGAAGTACTCTGTTATTTATTGCTTTCCGCTTTGAACTTTTTGGCCATACATTGAATGCGGATTAAATGACTACGACACGCTGGCTTAAATTGACATCACCATCGACAACGTGCTTCTGACGCAGTGACCGACTCGCACCGAACGCCACACGGCTTGTGGTAGACATCAATACCAGCAGATGAACTACAGGGCTTAACCACCCCTGCTGTGTAGGTGTACCCGTGCGAGATACCTGCGAGGATAAACAGGCTAGACAGCGGTTTGTTTAGATTAAAGGGTATGCCGAAATTCTTTCGCACCGTGTGTAGCCAACCGTGCTTTTTGGAGGTGCGGGAAGGGTGATTTAAAGCGTCTTCATTCATAGGCAAACTATACCTGACAAAATGTTTAGACTGCATAAGCATGATTTTATTTTCTTCTCCACATTACAAATGCTTGCTGCGGTGTTTGTGACATTAGTGTGGAACAAAGCAGCCAACGTAGAATCTTACGAATTTACAGGAAAAGGTGTTTGTTTTTGCTCTGCTGGTCCAGTCACTAAATTCCAATTACCATAAAGGCCTGCTGTCTCGGCAGATACAAACTCAAGGCAACATAACCGACCTTTCAGGAAAATTCCCACCACAGGTATGACTAATGGTGATGTGCGTAACGATAACGATCACATTCCAGTGGCATATATCTGCTCCACAAAATGTGTTCAAATTAATCACACACTTGTGTGGCAGTGAATAGAAAAAGGGCTTTTTGTTTGTTTTGCAACGATGACTCTTCAGTCCAGCCAACGAATGCTGGCAGCACCCAGCGATGACGATGTACATTCTTCGGGGGGGGGGCACAACAGCAGACGTCTGCGGAGGCAGTGTAACCCCTGCCGCTACGCGCACCGCCCACGCGCTCCTAGCAGTCCCCACCGCACCGCTTTCTTTGGGGCTGCTGGACAGCGCCACCCTACCTGCAGTCACAGCTACCAACAGCTGTCTTCGAGCTCCGATGTTCCGCAAGCCTACATGACACTCGCATCAGCTCTTGCCTCTCCGAGTTGTTAAACAGCGCCACAGCTGGCGGTATCAGTGTCTGTTTCTGGCCGAATCGCGCTTTGTGTGGAGGCTCCTAACGTAGTTGGTAAAATACATTTATAGCAATATAAATATTTTTACGGATAGCCATATATACTGACACAGACAGAAACACGTTGATCAAAGACTGAATTATATCTATTAAGGAAAGTGGTCTTGGGCATGATGGCCCATTGCTGCCATTCTGACGACAGAACGGCAGCCAAAGGGGATAATTCGCCCGAGAGGACAGCCATCACGGAAAGAGGGCAATGTGATCAGCTCGTGCAGCAGGGGTACGGATTGTTGCATTACAGGACCATAATGGATGGCATCTGCGTTGGGAGGCATTCATCCAGCAGTGAAGAGATCATGGAAAATAACGACGGCCACTTGTTTAATGTTCTATATATTAAAAAAATATTACTTGCTTCAGTCAGAAAATATCAATTATCGGTAAACAAAGTTAATCTTTACTTCGTGCCATGCCTTCTAGTGTTATTATCAGATGCAGGAATCCAACAAAAATTTTTTTGTCAAATCTACTTTCCAAGCATTCAAATTCCTTTAATTGAACGGCGAGACCATGCACCCACTTGCTGAGTGGTGCAGTCTTGAAGGTAGCCAAACTTTTTTCTCATGTTTTTAACAGACCGATTCAGTTTGAGAAATTCTCAGGAGTGAGACGAGCAAATGGCACTCAGCTTGTAGCATGACCTTTCAAAGCTGGGGGAATAGCGTGCCAAAATGTGGTACCACGAGCAAGTAACGCAACATGTGAAAGTTATTATTATATTTTGGTACTGGCAAAGGAGGTCTAATGATGTACAGTGAGGGAAAAAAGTATTTGATCCCCTGCTGATTTTGTACGTTTGCCCACTGACAAAGAAATGATAAGTCTATAATTTTAATGGGAGGTTTATTTGAACAGTGAGAGACAGAATAACAACAAAAAAATCCAGAAAAACGCATGTCAAAAATGGATTTGCATTTTAATGAGGGAAATAAGTATTGGCCCCTCTGCAAAACATGACTTAGTACTTGGTGGCAAAACCCTTGTTGGCAATCACATAGGTCAGATGTTTCTTGTAGTTGGCCACCAGGTTTGCACACATCTCAGGAGGGAGTTTGTCCCACTCCTCTTTGCAGATATTCTCCAAGTCATTAAGGCTTCGAGGCTGACGTTTGGCAACTCGAATCTTCAGCTCCCTCCACAGATTTTCTATGGGATTAAGGTCTGGAGACTGGCTAGGCCACTCCAGGACCTTAATGTGCTTCTTATTGAGCCACTCCTTTGTTGCCTTGGCCGTGTGTTTTGGGTCATTGTCATGCTGGAATACCCATCCACGACCCATTTTCAATGCCCTGGCTGAGGGAAGGAGGTTCTCACCCAAGATTTGACAGTACATGGCCCCGTCCATCGTCCCTTTGATGCAGTGAAGTTGTCCTGTCCCCTTAGCAGAAAAACACCCCAAAAGCATGTTTCTACCTCCATGTTTGACGGTGGGGATGGTGTTCTTGGGGTCATAGGCAGCATTCCTCCTCCTCCAAACATGGCGAGTTGAGTTGATGCCAAAGAGCTCCATTTTGGTCTCATCTGACCACAACACTTTCACCCAGTTGTCCTCTGAATCATTCAGATGTTCATTGGCAAACTTCGGACGGTCATGTATACGTGCTTTCTTGAGCAGGGGGACCTTGTGGGCGCTGCAGGATTTCAGTCCTTCACGGCGTAGTGTGTTACCAATTGTTTTCTTGGTGACTATGGTCCCAGCTGCCTTCAGATCATTGACAAGATCCTCCCGTGTAGTTCTGGGCTGATTCCTAACCGTTCTCATGATCATTGCAACTCCACGAGGTGAGATCTTGCATGGAGCCCAAGGCTGAGGGAGATTTACAGTTCTTGTTTCTTCCATTTGGAATATTCGCACCAACTGTTGTCACCTTCTCACCAAGCTGCTTGGCAATGGTCTTGTAGCCCATTCCAGCCTTGTGTAGGTCTACAATCTTGTCCCTGACACCCTTGGAGAGCTCTTTGGTCTTGGCCATGGTGGAGAGTTTGGAATCTGATTGATTGATTGCTTCTGCGGACAGGTGTCTTTTATACAGGTAACAAGCTGAGATTAGGATAACTCCCTTTAAGAGTGTGCTCTTAATCTCAGCTTGTTACCTGTATAAAAGACACCTGGGAGCCAGAAATCCTTCTGATTGAGAGGGGGTCAAATACTTATTTCCCTAATTAAAATGCAAATCAATTTATAACATTTTTTGAATGCGTTTTTCCGTATTTTTGTTGTTGTTATTCTGTCTCTCACTGTTCAAATAATCCTACCATTAAAATTATAGACTGATCATTTATTTGTCAGTGGGCAAACGTAGAAAATCAGCAGGGGATCAAATACTTTTTTCCCTCACTGTAGATGCTCACCCCGAGCCCTCATTACTTTGATAGTCACATTGTCTTTGAGCTGTGTGACGCCTTTTGGCGTCCTCTGGTCTAGCACCAATTGAGACGAGGCTCAAAAGAAAGCCGTCTCCGGTGTGGACCAATCAGTTTCAAGGACAATGTATATATTATCGGTGTTTTTTATTTGCATTTTGACCACAAGTATTGTGGTTAATGCACACATGATTCCTTGTAAAGAAGGTATCAGTTTTGTTGCCAGGAAAAAAGGGGAAAAACCCTATTATTATGTGAAAGATGTGCATAGATATTATTGAAAAACTAAATTTGAACTCCCCAAACCATTAATATAAAGAGCTGACTGCAGTGTATTTTTTGCCTTTTCTAAGAAAACAGCTCTCATTTCAACAAGACTGTTCCTCTTTAACTTGAGAAAGCATGTATGACTAATAGCAGACATAGCCATGTGACTGGAATGGCAGTGCATGAGTTGACCACCACCCGTTAGTTTTATCCATATTTGATTAAAAGTATGGCTTTGGATTTTATTAGACTATGGCTTAGAGAGATTTTAATGACTCATACAGTGCGTATTGTCCACCATACTTCTCTTAAAGAGTAACTATGGTGTGGAAAATAAAAAAAGAAGTTAACAGCAAAGCTGTAGCTGACATACAGCATTGTGGAAATTACGTTAAGCCTTTTATTTCCTTCTTAATACCAAATATTTTCCCAGAGGAACCAGTGACAGTTTAAAATGTATTTACCCCAGTTATGTACAAGTATTTTTCTGTCAAGCACACTATGACATGAACAAAAGCTGAGTGACTCTGCCACTAAGTGCGCCACTGTAACGGTGATTTGTTTTTCTTCACGTGTGCAGTGAAATACTCTCCACAAAGTGCAATAGGCCTATGCTTAAGTCCACCCGAACCCAAAATACACAGCTCTGTCCGACTGCAATCAGAGATGCACTCAGCCAATGTCGTGCAGTCACCTTCTGAAGCAATAGTATTCGGTGCAGTGCGTGTGTCAGGCCAGCGTGCGGCATGGGGTAAATGGTATGAATTTAACCGGAGTTTACCCGACCGCGAGTGGCCCCTCCACCCTGGTCCGAAGCAGCGAACTCACATTGCTTACTCTGCCCAGGTAAGACGGCCTGGGACCTTGAACACCCAACTCACACTACACGGCTACACCGTAACGAGCTGGCAAATACAGCGATCGTAGCCGTCGCCGTGTTCATAACCACTTGGCCTCAATCCTCGGCAGCACTCAGCTCGCTATCGCTGTCCGACCACCTGTGCCGCTGCTCCCAGTGGGCCGGGTGGAAGGGGCGGCCGTGGCGTGCGGCCGCACCCCGGCCTGGCGGGCCTGTCGGCCGGCGGGGACCGCGCAGGTACGGGCGCGCCAGCACCGCCACAGGCAGCGTGAGGGCGGCGCACGCCATACCCGAGATTTCGTCTTCCAGCTTGGGCCCTGACGACCATGAGTTCGTGGCGGCGTCGTACACATGAACGCAGGATGTGCGCGCGTGCCGGTCATGCGAGCGGCCGCCTACGATGTAAATCTCTCCCTCCATGGCTGACCCGTCCGACGCCGGCACAACGGCGATGCCGGGCTCACCGTGTCCGGCTGGCAGGTGCGCCACGGATGTCCATTGCTCTGTGTCGGTCTGTAGCACGTTGACCTGGAGATGGGGCAGAGTGACGCGGCGGTGAGGAGCTGCCGAGCAGCTCAAAACAAAAAAAAAAGTTACAAAGATGACAGCGCTGTTCAGCAATTGAGTCACTTCACCACTGGTCTGTGGATTTAGACAGTTAAACACGACTTTACTTCATTGCCTGTGTGAGTAATAGTGGTGACAGGCAGCCATTTGTCCGTGAGATTTGTAAACTCGTGCGATAAATCTACCACTACGCAAGTACTACTGTTCTGTGCATGCAAAAGTGCTACTGTGTTATGTCTATATTATGTAGTGGCTTATCGCACGCCTCTGGGTAAACCTATTTAGACGTTTTTTTCTCGTGTTTATTTTGTATTTAATCTAGTACAATCAATACAATTGTGTTCTTTAACACTCTAGCTCTTTAATGTATATTTCTGTATAAAGGCCAACAATCCCAAATACCTGTTTGTGGTACTGACTCATCATTTCAGTTTAATATGCAACAAAATGTAAAAATGTACAGGAATGCCCTTAATCTTATTTACAAATGGAGAAAAACTAATTCTATTCATACATCATGGCCGGTCTTAGTCTCGAAATTATACACTAATCTTAAGTCATGAAACATACATGAATTGTACAGCCCTTTGTCATCCAAAGCTGGATGATGGCTTCCCTAAGCATCGGTCATGAGGGTTATTTGACTATGCTGGTCAGTGCAGGTTAGTGAGGGGGGCGGCTCAAGGACCAGTTCAGATATCACTCGCCACTGAAGTTTGTCGTGGAACTGAAGTGGCTCAATTCAGTGGGAGTGCACTCACCATTGCGCCATTGCTCCATGCGCAAGGCATGCAAGACTTTAGAAACAAATCAGGAAAGCTAACAAAGGCATGAGAGGGAGGTCTCCTGCTGGAAAAATTATCAATGGCATCGCTTGATTTAAAAAAAAAAACAGCAAAAGCTTATCCACAACCATATTACAGTACTGGTGGAAGAGCAAGCCTGCAGATGAATGTGGTAAACGAAATACAACGGCGATATTATAACAAATGCTGATACAATGGGTCATGTCGGTAAGTGGGACGGCTACTTTCACGATGGCTCCCACAATTTATACCAAACCTCCACCGTCCCTCACATCCCATATCAGCACAGCAACAAAGGTACACTACAGCTTGCAAACCTACAGTGGGGGGGGGGGTATGGTACTGCAATTACAATAACGATGATTTTTATTTACTTATTCACTACAGGAAAGCCCGAGTGTAATAACTAATTTTCAGGAGCGTTTTCATTCGGGAAAATTCCTTTTTATGAAGTCGACAAAAAAACACAAGGGACTACATTGGCTGTGGTACAACAAAACATCACTCACTGCATGAATTACCAAAGTGAGTAAACTTTAAGGAGTGTTGTGTAAGTTGCAGGGAATCCCAAGTGTGCACAGAACACCCATCATGCACAAGAGGGGATAGCACTCAGTCTTGCTCACAGACAGGTTCTCAAACCTATTTACTGGGCTGCCATATCCTGGTCACCACCTTTCAGCCCAGCAACAGATTTGTGAGTTTCTCAAATCTGCTGGATTCACCAACCTCTGCCTGCTCCCAAAGCGATGGATTGCAGGCATGCGCCACCACCCCCGGCTATGATAATGAAGTGCTGTCATTATCGTCGGTGTCAGCCATGATCATTCCACTGTTGGATGAAAGACCTCTGCAGGCCGACACGATCCTTCATAGTCCTGTGATGTACTCATAATGCAGTTAGCGTTAGCGCAGTACAGTCGGTAGCGTTAGCGCAGTACCGTAGGCTCTCATTACCGCAGGTACTGATGACACAGTACCGTAGGTGCCGATGACGCAGTACCCTAAGGTAGTGATAATGCAGTGCCATAAGGTGGTGACAACGGCAGTCCCGCAGGTACTGATAACGCAGCACGGCGGTACCGACAGCTTCACCCTCCCACAGCTAGAAACGGCAGCAGGGAAGCCACACAGCTCGGCACCTGCAGGACGTCGCGGCGGTAGCCGTGCAGGCGGTTGCTGCCGCCAATGAGGTAGACTTGGTTGGCCAGCGCGGCGGCGCAGTGCCAGGCGCGCTCCACGGGCGCTGGCGGCAGCTCCCGCCACGCGTCCCCGGCAGGCTCGTAGCAGTACACCGTGCTCAGGTACGTGTCCGCGCGGATGCCGCACGCCACGTACACCTTGCCCCCGCACGCGGTGCCAGCGTGGGCGTACATCTGCCAGGGGCACGGGCATGGCGTTGCGCGGTTGGGAGGGGGGGGCAGACGTCAGGATGTATGTAGAACTTCTTTCGCACCGTACGTAGAAAACCGTGGTAATTGTCGGAGGCGCGGGCGAAGGACAACAAACTAAACACAAAAGAGCAGTTTGAAAGAAATTCGTTTTCAATCTAGATTTAAATGTGCATAGCTCCAGTGGCTTCCGAATAATGGACGGACCGTAGGACGGTAGTTGCGATTGAATGCTCAAATATTAAACTGCTTTTTTTCGACGATTTTCCTCTTTTTTTTTTAATCATCCGTTTCATTATCCGTTTTAGCAAATACTCGTGGGTGTTTTGGTCAGTTTAACACGTAGGCTTTCGCGACCAATATTATTCATAATAAAGGTTTTTGGGTTAGATCGCGTTATTTATAAATGTGTCGTAACCCTCCACAACCTGGCACGGCCAATCAGCAAAAAAGTGTCACGTTGACAAAAGACAAATAGTTCACTACTTTAGCCCAACGGTGTGTTGAAGAGTGAATCTACTCAAACTGGAAATGTTGTAGATTCACTCTTCAACACACCGGTGGGCTGAAGCAGTGAACTATTTGTCTTTTGTCAACGTGACACTTTTTTGCTGATTGGCCATGTCGGGTGGTGGAGGGTTACGACACATTTATAAATAACGCGATCTAACCCAAAAACCTTTATTATTATGGTGTTTTGGTCGTTTGTTCTAATGTTTTGGTGTGCTCGTTCCACCGATTTGGTTCACAATTATTTATCCGGGCCAAGTCACCTTTTAACGCTGCCCAACTAAAGTGTCTGCAAGTTTTGTTTGTGTGTTGTGTTAGGTGGTGTGTCGTTGCGTAGTCTTGTGTTACGTGTGGTGCTGCATGCTGTTGAGTGGTGTTGCACGGTGTTGCACCATGTTGAGCGGTCCTGTACGGTGTGGAGTGGCGTTGCCTGGGTGTGGAGTGGTATTCCACAGGAGTGAAGTAGCGTGCAGTGTCGTATAGTGTGGTGTGGTGAAGCATGTTGTTGAGTGGTGTTGCACGTTGTACACTGTTGAGTAGCGATAAGACAGCGTCAAGCGGAGGTGAATGGTGTTGCGTGCGGCTAGCACGGCGCTCTTTGACAGCACCTCCTTGGGCAGCGGGGCGGCAGCATCCCACGTGTTGGTCTCTAGGCTGTAGCGCTCCACCGAGTGCAGCTCCTCCACGTAGTCGCGCCCACCAATCGCGTAGATGTAGAGTCCCACGGCGCACACACAGTGGTCGGCGTGTGCCCGCTGGAGCGGCGCTATCACCGTCCACTTGTTGTGCCGTGGGTCGTACCTGTTGCAGAAGCCATGGCAATGGACACAAAACCAGGAAATTGTGTGTCAATGTCTCGTCTAAAATGACGTTAAATTCGTCATTATTGTTATTATTAGCCATGATCTATCGACTATTGGATGCAAGTTTCCCCAAGACGTCGCCATCTGACAGTTTTGCGATGCAACAATACACCGAGTGCATGCACATGAGCTGATTTAATTTCACCTGTTTAAGCAGATTGGTTGTGCAATTCATTGGATAAATTCCAGCTTTGAGAATCAAAAATTAAGGTTTCAATGTCCAGTGACGAAAATGACTCGCAGCAACAGAGCAGATGGGAAAATATTCACCCCTACTGTACCACATTGAAGGCAACTCGGAAGTTATTCTGTGACATCTGCTTCTGTGGACCATTCTTTAACACAAAGGGTTAAATTGCTCTGCGTTATTGGCATGACATCCTGCCAACAGCACAATTTGCATAACATTGGGAACAAAGACTGTCAAATTATAAAAAAACACTACGGCCACTGACTGCAAGAAGCACCTACAACATCTTCCAAGCCCGTGCACTTGCAAACGCAAGCTTCTGTCACCAATCCAAAGGGTTCCGTGCCCACCTCCAGCAGTCCGCCACCGCCCTGAAGCCATGCGAGTTGTTGTCTCCGCCGACGAGGAAAAGGAAGTTGTTGACGACAGCGATGCCTTGGTTGGACATGCGGGGAGGGGCTCCTCCGCCGACGCCGCTGCCGCCACCGCCCCTGGTGAGCACCTCCCAACGGCCTGTGCTCGGGTTGAGGAAGTGCGACTCATCGCTCAGGTCGTTGTCGTCGGATGAGAACATGCCACCGAAGCCCACGACGCAGTGGCGCTTGGAGCGCAGGCGTGTGCGTGCCGTCTGCAGCACCGGCTGGAATGCCAAGGCACCCAGAGCAGATTCACCGGATTGGGGCACACATAAATAAATAAAGACACGAGGTGTATTGTATTTCAAGTAATTGTTGCATGTCAACCACTATTGTCAATCCACTGCTAGATGAGGGGCTCTCCACGCTGTGCGGGTTGCAGGGGTTGTTTGATCATAATTCGCCACATTGGTCTCTGCTGGTTAGTGAAAGTGCACAACAGATGTAGCAGCACACAACAATGGATTGTTGTGTGCACTGCCCACAAAGGAGCTGCATAGCAATCTCTAACACCTGTCTTTCGATGCAAGGTGGTCACCCATCAAAGCACAATACAAGCTCAATACTGTAAATATGTGCATGTGTATGGAAATAAATGTAGTTTTTTATACATCACCACCAATGTCATCGTCATCTACCATCAACATTAGCAGCAGCAGTCTCAATGCCCAAGCTCCATATCATATTGAGAGCTGTACATGGTTTTAAAATGTGATATGTGGCTATATTTGTATACTAATTTATATTTTATTAATCTGATTGATCAGACGCTTAGTCTTTAATGAATAACTGATCAATATACTTGATTTACTACAACGCACAGCATTACAATTCCTGCATTTTTTTTTACTGAAGAACCAAAATGTGCACTGGCTGAGGGAATGATGTACTAAATAATTGATGGCGTGGATAGGCACCTGTAGCATGACGTTGGCATGGTAGGCCATGGCATCAGCGAGGATCTCTTTGAGCGGGCATGGGTTCAGACGTCCATAGAGGTCCTGTACAGTGCGTGGGCTGAGTAACTCGTAGCGCACACACTCGAGCACCTTAGGCGGGTTGGACAGAAGCTTCAGGTCCTCCTCTTGTTCCTCCTAAGGATATGGGAAAAGGAAGTGATTTAAGAACTTCACCACGCTGGTTAATGTAGGTTGGTGAATAAGCGGGCCCAGGATCGGTTGAGATGTCACACTCCATGGACGTAAGCCGAAGCTGGGAATCAAACTCAGGTTGTCGGGTTCACAGTGCAGTGCGCTCAACATGGTGCCACCAGTTCATCCCAGAAGTTGGTTAAAGAATAACAAAAAGAACATCAAAGCCATATGTAAACATGTAAGTATAGCTGCTACATCTTGCAAATCAAAACACACCTTTGAGCCAGAGGTCTTCCCACGATGGTATAAAAGAGCCGCCTCGTACACATCAGTCTCAGCTGCCACCTGGGTAACATAAACAATGAAAACGTTTGCAATCACATACCTTCGTAAAAAATAATCCACAAATACACACAACTCACATTGAATGTATGGATAGGCCTTCAAAAAGCCTGCCAAGCCCTGAAGGATGGGGTGAAATACATTCTATGGGAATATCCCTGTCCACTTTGCTATATATTTTGGTACATGTTATTGAGACCGTAGCCCATCAGCTTATCCACTGCCTCCTCATTAAGGGTTATTTAGTAGATAGTCTTACATTATACTTATTCATTTACAAGTCTTTGTGAATCCACTGTTGGATAAAGGCCTCCCCATGCCGCATAGGTCACGGGGTTGTTTGACCAGGCTTCACCACGTTGGTAAGTGTACATTGTTAAAGAGGGGGCCCGGGACCGGTTTTGATATCACTCGACATTAATGTTAGCCAAGACTGGAAATTAGGCTACAGATCGGTCAGTTCACAGCACTCCAACCAATTTACCACCGCTCCCCTGATGGATTCACAATCTTCAGCGAATTCCAATCACTGCTCCAAATGCGAGCAATGAATACAACTGTCTTCCAAGGCTATGTATGTATGTGGTATGTCTGTTGAACTTCTTCCGCACCGTATGTAGCCAACCGTGCTAATCGGAGGTGCGGGGAAAGGACAACAAACTAAACACAAAAAAGCAGTTCTAAAGAAATTAGTTTTCAATCTAGATTTTCAATTTAGATCTCACCACATGCGAAGGCCTTAGCTTTTGGATGCGTATTCCCTCGCTCGCCTTCATTCCCGCTCACCTTCAGGCTGTCGCTGCTCAGCAAGAACTGCACTTTGTCGACACGCAGGCGGCGGTATGCTTCGGTCTGGCAGAATGCCGGGAAGGTGGAGAGCAGGTGCGCATCGAGCTTGTCCGCCAGGTCCGTGAGGCCGTAAGCCTCAGCCAGCATGTACAGCTCCGGCACACTCTCCGCCTCCACCCGCGACACGAGGAAGTCGCAGCAACAGTCAATGGCTGCCGACATCTGTGGAAACGTAAATTATTAGGCCTGTATTGATTCAATCCCCCCAGCGATTCGATTAATTCTTACGATTCAGAACGATCGATTCAAGAATAGATAATGTTTGGCTCGTTTTGGCAGGTCTATTTTGTATTGTTATATTCTTGGTTCTTTCGGTAAAGTCACGTTGAAGGGAAACAATAAATTAATAAAAATATAAAACAATAAAATTCTCACGACGTTTCGACTGCAACACAAGCAATCATCATCAGGTGTGAAAACCACAGCAAAATTGCTGTGAGAATTTTATTGTTTTATATTTTTATTATTTTACTGTTTCCCTTCTACGTGACTTTACCGAAAGAACCAAGAATATAAATCCATGCAGTCACAAAAGCTTTAAATCAAAATTGTATTGTTATTTTTTTCTCCTTTGCATGGCATTGTCCTGTCCATTCGGCTCAATGTAACATTAGCATACAATGGTCAGTGTATGAATATCCATGTATCAATTCAACAATGCATATCTAGTACTTGTTCACTTGCACCACTCAAGCAGGTGGTTTAGTGACCCATGCATTAACCACACATATACAACCCTTACAGAAAATGGAACGATATCATAAAATCCCACATCCACTTGATAGTTCTAAGGCAGGTCTGTTACATACTTATTGTACAATTACTTACATGTTAAAGCGGTTTATTATACAGTAAAACATTGGATTGCGAGTAACTTGGTCTGCGAGTGTTTGGCAAGACGAGCAAAATTTTTAAATAAATATTAATTTGATAAACGAGCGAGGTCTTGCAATACAAGTAGTGTACGTGTACGCTTTGTCTGCCGAGCATCACGTGATCACAACTGATATACGAGTGCTTTGATATCCGAGTGTTTTGGATTACAAACACGTTTCCGGAACGAATTATGCTCGCAATCCAAGGTTTTACTGTATTTCACAAATAAAAAAGATCCTTTATTTATATCAGTAGCTTCACACTTTATATATAAAAAGAAAATCACAAATTATACATAATACACAGACAATAAGCACTAGAAGCCTACTCTCGTCCACCTCTTCATTTAATTATTTTGATCCCGTCGGCCTTTAGTAACGGTCTTCAGTACACGTACTCTGATGTATTTTACATTTGTGTCCCTCCGACAGTTCTCATCAATTATTTAATAAACTTGTAAACGACTTACCCACTGCTAAGGATATATTTAGCAAAGGACTTGCAGCTATATTAGAGTGATAGCTCCATTGTGTGTGTGGCACAACAACCTTCACCTGGGAATTTGTAGCAGAGAGTAGTGGCACAGAAGTACAGTTGTTAAGAGCACTGCTCTATAAACCCACTTCCCCGAGTTAAAGTCTCGGTCAAGCTAACAATAACCAATTCTGCGCCTCGCTTGGGTTGAGTACCATGTGCGATATGTAAACATCAGTAACGAGGAGACAAATGTAACCGTGCGTTGTGCTGGCCACACCATGGCCTCATGCTCTGGCTTTCATAGGTGGTCTTAGCAGTGCTAGTCCCAACAGCCTATCTTATAGGATGTTAGTATTAGATTGAAAACTCATTTCTGGACTGAAAACTCATTTCTTTAGAATTGCTTTTTGAGTTGAGTTTGTTGTCCTTCCCTCACACCTCTGATTAGCACGGTTTGGCGACGTATGGTGTGAAAGAAGTTCACTATACATACACGGGAGATCTTTGTCTTTAGTACAAAAATGTGCACCTGCAGGAGAACGGCGGCCGACAGGATGTCCTGCACGTTGTCTTGCGACACCTCAAGCTCAGCTGTGTAGATGTAGGCAACGAGCCGCTCCAGAGCAACGTACGTCACGCCGTGGATCTCCACCTCGTCCTGCTGTGCCTCACGTAGGCCCCGTGCGAACATGCCCCTGGGTGCGCGTCACATTCCGCTGTCATGAAAACCTCCGCGTATTTATATTCCGTGGGTCTGGTGGCAGGTGAATTATTGTGATCAGGTGGTGGCCATCTCAACGGCACATCCCGATCAGTGGAAAACTGGAATGATGTCACGTGACAAGAAATAACTGCGTTGGATTGGCCGCAGGCTGCCTGCATCCGAGAGCCCTGTTTATTAGCCATGTAGTGATTAGTCCTGCTTGTAATTTAATCAAATGTCACAATTCGAGGTTGTAATTTGATTCAAGAATCGATTTTTTTAATATAGCACCTCTAGTGGATGCAAGATTTAGGTAAGCCAAGTACAACATACGGACTACGGACTGGAAATACACGCACCATTCAATACACGTATTGTAAGTGTTAGAATTGCCTTTAACCGCTGAAGCAATGCATTATAAAATGGCTAAAACTAACGTGGCTTGAATTTTATTACATCCCATCATGTGCAAATATTGTTCAGTATGTGAGAGGTATCTTAATGGCACATCCTGATTTTTGTAAAATCACAAAAGACGTCCAATAAAACACTTAAGGCTTACACATAATTGGCCTGATTAGGATCCACTAATATGAACACTATGACCAAATGTTTTGCGACTAATTTACAGTGAGAGCCCACCGAGGGACAGACCTTTATTGAGATGTAAGCAAGGTAATGATTTAGACATAAAACTATGGCCCTGACCTAGTTAGGTGTTGTAAGTGCTGTGAGTGCAGACATCGTTACCAAAAAAAAACATTCGGTTGTAAAAAAAACCTACGTGGCTTCCAGACCCGTCATTATCTATGCCACAGCACTAAGTCAGTACATCTGAGACCCCTATTTAATGCCCCAGATGAAAGACAAACTGACATGTTTTCCCCTGGGGCTTTATTTACTTCTTCAACAACACAACAAATGCATTCCCTGAAGTAAAGCCATGCCTGGAAAAGATACAATATTGTAAGTAAAAAAACTAAACTGCTGAAGAATAGCCTGTAAAGACTCCAACATACACATACACATAGATGTACAGCCCTTTTGTCAAACTTACAGCTGGATGAGGGCCCTTCACACACCATGTAGGTCATGGGGGTTATTTTAACGTACTGATCACTCTGGGGTTGTTAAGGGGGGCAGCACAGACAGGGGACACATAGACATACATTGCAACAATGGATTTTGCTGTACTGTCGTCTGCTGTTCACCACCTAGCCCCGATCACCAACCTGATTGTGGATAGTGGTTGCCCTTTCAAGAACTGTCCAGGTTAAACAATGCTTAACTCCCTAGATCTGATGACATACGGTGCATTCCGGGTTATTTGGTCATAGGCTGAGCCTCCACGTACAGAATAGAAAGAAGAATGTAAAATGGTCTCAAACCTGAAGTAATCGCACGACGCCGCCAGGACGACTCGATGGGCACAGATCTTCCGACCCTCTGCACGCAGAGTGATGTCGTAGAGGCTGTTGTTGCGACGCAGCTCACTCAGGCCGACCAGAAGTAGTTTGGAGTGGTCGGCGCAACGATACGCGGTCCGAGTTCGAAACTTCTCCAGCACACACCGCTGCTGCTGCTGCTGTTGCTGCCTTCGCTGCTGCTGCTGGGAGAGCCAGGATGCTCCTTCTCCATCCTGACTGCTGGGCCTGCCTCCGACATTCATCCCTGTGGGGACAGGGACAAAAAGGTTACGCATGCTCTGCACTCTCCTTGCCGTCAGCTATATGCTCTCACTCTAGTTGTGTGGCACAAGCTTTCAATCGCCAGCCAACCACTGCTGCGCTACCAAAGGACCACATCAACAATTATTTCCTGTAAATATATACATTGTAGTTGGACAGGTTGAGTTTAATAAACTACAACAAAACCGGCTAGAGAAAAAGCAAGGGAACACATGCTGATGTGTTTTCCAAAGCCTAATATTAAGGAGCACCAACAATGCATATCTGACCCAAGAACTGTCATCATTCATGTGCAATGTTGCTAAGTAACCAGAGGCACTAGTATTATGCACCAAAGTTACACTGCAAATAACGCTTTGAAGTTTAAATTATGGAATGATTCAGTAACGCTGGGGAATAAAAAAAATGATTCAGTGGCTCGATTTCTTATATTGAAATACCATATTTGCACTGCCAGCCATGCAATTGTAGTAAAATATATTGCTCCTGCCACTCAGAATGCATTGTGGGGCTTATTAAATGTGGTTATGAGCATGGAATAACCATGTATGGGGAAAAATGAGATAATATAACTGGGGTTAAAGACAGGGTTAGGGCAGAGGCTTCCACACCGTTTGCTCTGAAGGTTGGAGAAACTAACTTGCTAGACATTTCATAACAACCAGTTTTGACCTTTACAACCTATGTTATATATCTTATATATTCTGAAGTGATATAACAAAATAACTCAGCAATACCATGAACACAACAACAGTTGCCATTCGCCACGAAGTGGTGATGTCAGCACAGTACTTCTACGAGTCTTGGTGCACCTTGGGGTCACGTGAAGTATCGAAGGCTCGCTGGCAGGTCATGGGACAAACCCAAGTGTTTTGGGTTGACTAAGATTACTGGCAGATGCACCACCAGTGCTCCCCACTGTGCTGTGTTTCACCCACCTGGCGCTCCGCTTATCGGTGAGCGTTGCTCCTCTGCCTTGTTGTTGGAGGTGGAATGACTAACTGCCAAGTAGCGTCTTTCACGAGCCTCCTCCAGAGGCAGACCTTGACATCGCTTGTACCAGTCATCGGCTAGTCCAATCAGCTTCACATCCCTCTGTACCACATCAGTCAATTTCTTCCGTAGCCTGTGCTGCACTCATTTGGCTTCCTCTATCCGGCCAAAAAGAAGCTGCTTGGGCATGAGGTGGCTGGGCATACGGGCTACATGACCTAGCCAATGCAGCTTCGCTTGACAGAGGAGCTCACTGATGAGACTGACCAGATATTTTAAGGATCTGAAAACTCCTCACAATTCAGTCTGGTTAAACCCAGGATGGATCGTAGACAGGCCAGCCTGAATGATTCAAACCAGCTCAGATATTCGTTCAAAAGGGAATCACGTTTCACAAGCATTGAGGAGGGAGGGCCTAAATGTGGATGAAAAGACATGGAGCATGGTATGGTGCGACAGATCAGGTATCTTCTACATGGCTCTACACAGTTGATGACAAGATAATGTCACCGATTCGGAGTGAGACCCCCACTTCCAAACCGGAGCTGGTCATAAACACACTTTCCAGGTAAGTCAACTTTTTCACCCTCTCCAAAACTGTACAATCATTGAAAAAACATACCACGTACATACATTGCACTACCATACAGTGCTAGCAACAGAGATATAGTGTAAAGATCTGGTGAGATGACAGAAAGACGAGAATGAGACGTTGTAACATGAGAAAAAAGCATACAAAAATCAGGAATGTAGTTAAAAGGATGAGCGATGCAGACGAAAGAGGGATGTGAAGGACAAGTAACATATAGAGAAGTGAGATAACGTTCAGACAGAAATTTATATTCAATATAAATATCATAAACATGATAAGAAAGCAATGCATTCAAAACAGATACGGGACAAGTGCATTAAGAAGAGCGATTGGGGATGTACTGTATTCGGCAAATACATATATCAACAAAATACTGTAGTTTTATTCTGAAAATAAATATAACAGATCTTTCCAGAAGTGACTATCAGAGATAGGAGATTTTTTTTCAGAAGATAGGACAGGACATGTATTCAAAAGAGATGGGATATAGAAGGGCCAAATAGATCCATAAAGCATGAGGGTACAGCACTTATTTCAATTGATTTTTTTACTCCAACATCAACGTCAAGTTATTACAACAGATACATGGGTGTCCAAGATGGTTCATTTGTTTCATAAGCCTATACAATTTTTAAACTTTAACTTTTGGCCCACGGACCACATTGTTTGGACAACGCTTGGATAACCCATTGGCTATAACATACATTTTCACAGCAGCAGCAGTATATATACCCGATTAAACACATTTTTTTTATTACGACACAGCGGAATAGGTTGCTTCAGACAAGACGCAAGAAAGAGCAGATAGGAGGCTTGACTATCGTTAAGAACGTATTCTGTTTGGCCAGCAATACTTGATGAGAACCAAATAAAAAAAGCATTCAGAAGAACCGCCCAGTCAACACAGGTCGAATAAGAAGAACCGGAGTGAATATGCACAGAGCCACCCACGGGGAAATTTCGGTTCTCGTTGGCGTGCGGCCAGATCGCACGAGATGTCTACACCAGCCCCAAACATTCTCTATCTTAACAGGACAATACTGTTGTCACCCAGAGACCACCGTCCGTGTGCCGTGATGATGAGACACTGTGTAGAAACCGGTCCACAATTTGCCTGCACTGAATCAGCGTTGTTGAAACTATGCAACCATCGCTGGGACGATGAGCTGTGTAAAGAAATACAGTTTACGCGGAGAGACGGATACGTGAAGCTGACGTATCATCCGCAAAAGCGATGTGATTATTACTATTGTCCACAACGACGCGAATAACGATTATGCGTTACGTAACATCACCACCATCAAAGTTGGGACGTACTTCGTGGGAAGTGCCGGTTCACGGTGGCAATGTTTCACATTCGCGTTGGGGAGGTCTAATCTGGAGAGTTGAATAATCACACGGAGGAAAGAGGTGCAGCCTCACACCAGCTGGTGTTTATTTTATCGACGTGAAAAGCGATCGGTGATGTTGTTGTTGGTGAGAATGAATATGGAGGTGACGGGTGGCTTGAGCTCATCGATAGCTATTGGTGGCGATGACAGAGATGAGGGATAATCGGTGCTAACGATGATGAAGAATATACCGGTGGTGATTAGAGAAATGATCACTGCTGATAATCACGATGAGTGATGATGATGATAACGATGGTTGATGACGATCCAGATGACAATGACTGCGATACTCTTTGGTTCTATTCGGTAAAGTCACGAAGGTAAAAAAAAATCACGACGTTTTTTTTACCTACGTGACTTTACCGAATAGAACCAAAGAGTATGGATCCTTGCAGTCACGAAAGCTTCAATCTAGAAATGACTGCGATGTAAACTGGAGAGACCGTGGTAGAGATTCTGACAATTGGTAGGTGACGAGAACGAAAAAGATGTTTGTTGATGACGTTAACGATGTTTGATGCCAATGATAATACAGCTTTCGTGACTGCAGTAATTCATATTCTTTGGGTCTTTATCATTTGATCTATCTACGTGACTTTACCCAAAGACCCAAGAATAATGATAATACAATTACAATGGAGGAAATTGAATCTACAACGCTAACCATGCAGGCATCCTCAACACCCGACGAAGCAATCCACGCCGTGCTGGCCATCCGATATCAAAAGAAGCACCACAGAATACACACCAATAAAATATAATTACCCAACTTTCACAGTCCTCACCGTCACTCCGCCAAGTCCGAAGATCGAAGGCCGAATCCCCGTCCTAGCCTGCCCGGGCCGCCGGGCTCGAGACGCGCCTCGCCCCGCAAGGGCTGTAGTCGAGAGGCGGTGCGCGCCCGAATCCAGCCGAGCCTCGATAGACCTTAACGCGTCATGCCCATTCATGGGGCAAATAGCTCGTCGTTATTTACTCTGGTTTTTTTTTGCTTAAACAGATTTTTAAAAAGTATATATATAAATTACGAAACCTATACACACAGTCGAACGAAATTTTTTAAATAGATCTCACCAGTGGGGTTGGGGGAGCCGCTGAGGGTGATAGGCGTCGTGACGTCACGGGGACAAAGCGGATCCAAAACAAATGGGAATCGATCCACAGAGCCGTGCGGTTAGCTGCGAATCGATTCCGCTTCACACGCTTCGCAGGTGAAATAGCCCAGGTAACTCATATTCTTTGGGTCTTTCGGTAAGGGGCCGTCCATAAATGACGTCACGCACCTAGGGGTGGGTCAGACATTTGTGACAATGTGTGACGAGGGGGAGCGGGGGTTGAGAAATGTGACGTCACATCAAAATGCGCAACTTTAAATAAATATAGACAACACGTTCTACTTAAATTTTGATTTAAAGCTTTCGTGACTGCAGGGATTAATATTATTGGTTCTTTCGGTAAAGTCACGTAGAAGGGAAACAATAAAATAATAAAAATGTAAAACAATACAATTCTCACGACGTTTCGACTGCGACACAAGCAATCATCATCAGATGTGAAAACCACAGCAAGAAAATTTGACAAAAAGTGGCGATTTTTTTTAACGTTAGCACCACGAAGAGCGATTTGACAGTTATTCAGATGGACGAGTCCATCTATGTTCGGAAAAGAGGAGGGGAGAGACGAAAATAATGGATGCGGTCTGAAAGCCACCATAAGCGTGAACAATCAATTAAGACCCGAAATGGTTTATCAAATCCTTCCAATGATTGCTAAGCCAGAATCCATCTTCTCGGTTAAAATTGTCTCTGTGTTTGTATATGTGGATTGCCTCATGAACGAATCTTTCATGGTAGCCAGATGGCTTGCAAAGAACCTCTGCCTTGGAGAAGTCAATGTCATGTGAGCCTACTGAACTATAAGAGTGTTCTGCCACGGCCGAGGTGTTGGTCCTACCGTGTTTTAGATCTGCTTTGTGTTCACGAATGCGGTCCGAGACATGCCGTTTGGTTTCTCCAATGTAACTACTACCACAGAGGCAACTTAGTTTGTAGATGCCAGGGTACTGTATGTCCGGAATCACATCTTTTACAGACGGAACCAGATCATTGGAAGGATTTGATAAACCATTTCGGGTCTTAATTGATTGTTCACGCTTACGGTGGCTTTCAGACCGCATCCATTATTTTCGTCTCCCCCCTCCTCTTTTCCGAACATAGATGGACTCGTCCATCTGCATAACTGCCAAATCGCTCTCCATGGTGCTAACGTGAAAAAAACGCCACTTTTTTAAATTTCTTGCTGTGGTTTCCACACCTGATGATGATTGCTTGTGTTGCAGTCGAAACGTCGTGAGAATTTTATTGTTTTATATTTTTATTATTTTATTGTTTCCCTTCTACGTGACTTTACCGAAAGAACCAAGACTACGTTCTACTTAATTAGACTTTTTAATAAATGTTTTCTCCTACAACATCAGAGTGCAGCGCCACATTAAATACGTACTACAATGACAATAGTTTAAAGCGATTTGAAGCATGTTTTGGGGAGTCAGAGCTTTGTGACGTCATATTTGAGGGTGGGGGGGATCTGTCTTTTTGTGATGAGGGGGGGGGGGGTCAAAAATCGTCCAAAATCGCGTGACGTCATTTATGGACGACCCCTTATGCATGGAAGAAGATGGATGAAGAAGGGCCTTTACCCGAAATGTCGCCGATTTTGTTGTTGTTAAAAGACCGTTCTATTCATGCGTGCGGTAAATGTGTGCACAAGCCGAATGCCAACGTGGGAGGCCTTTCAACCACGAGAGGACTTGATGAGCGAGAGAGGAGCCCAGATGACAGTGGTTGTTTAACTTCGTGGTCCATCGTTTGTGGTTGCATGCTTTCACAGTCGCTCGACTGTGGCTCGTGTCTTTAATGATTCCATGTATGAAGGAGACGATGCTGCGCAATCGGTCTGTTGATGTTTCCGTGCCAAGGAGGTGCGATGTTTGGGGCTCGAATGACGAGTTTTTATTCTGGACGTCCGCGTTGTTTCCACTCTGTTCGCCGTCGTTCGTCCGGATCTGGGCGGGATTCTGTGATAGGTACTTGAGTCGATTGTGAGGTACATTGTTTAGGTCTTGGTTGACGAGTAGGTTGTTGTTGGCGAGTGTGATTGAGGAATGTGAGTTTATTTTTTTGTTAATTGTGTTTCGTGCACCACTGCCAACGCAGTATCACCAAATAATTTAGTTTGACAGTGCTCACTCTAGCGCTGTCTTCTTGACAGTCCTGTTTCTTCACCTGAAGAAGGCTACTTGTGTTGTGGCCGAAACGTCGTGAGAAGTTTTATTGTATTATGTTTTATTTTTATCTTTATTCTACGTGACTTTACCGAAAGAACCAAGAAGAAAAAAGTGTGTATGGAGTTTTTAAAAGTCGAGATCACGACCAATGCTATTGGTAACCACGGGTGTTTTCAGTGCATCCGATGTTAGGAGCTTTAGATGGTAGATACGTGTAGATTTGCTGATGTCCTATAATCATATGCAGACCTAAATTACATTCAACATACATTCCTCCAGTTACAGTGATGGAAAAAAGAATTTGATCCCCGGCTGATTTAGTACGTTTGCCCACTGACAAAGAAATGATCAGTCTATAATTTTAATGGTAGGTTTATTTGAACAGTGAGAGACAGAATAACAACAACAAAATCCAGAAAAACGCATGTCAAAAATGTTATAAATTGATTTGCATTTTAATGAGGGAAATAAGTATTTGACCCCTCTGCAAAACATGACTTAGTACTTGGTGGCAAAACCCTTGTTGGCCATCAGAGAGGTCAGACGTTTCTTGTAGTTGGCCACCAGGTTTGCACACATCTCAGGAGGGATTTTGTCCCACTCCTCTTTGCAGATCTTCTCCAAGTCATTAAGGTTTCGAGGCTGACGTTTGGCAACTCGAACCTTTAGCTCCCTCCATAGATTTTCTATGGGATTAAGGTCTGGAGACTGGCTAGGCCACTCCAGGACCTTAATGTGCTTCTTCTTGAGCCACTCCTTTGTTGCCTTGGCCGTGTGTTTTGGGTCATTGTCATGCTGGAATACCCATCCACGACCTATTTTCAATGCCCTGGCTGAGGGAAGGAGGTTCTCACCCAAGATTTGATGGTACATCGTCCCTTTGATGCGGTGAAGTTATCCTGTCCCCTTAGCAGAAAAACACCCCCAAAGCATAATGCTTCCACCTCCATGTTTGATGGTGGGGATGGTGTTCTTGGGGTCATAGGCAGCATTCCTCCTCCTGATTCCTAACCGTTCTCATGATCATTGCAACTCCACGAGGTGAGATCTTGCATGGAGACCAAGGCCGAGGGAGATTGACAGTTCTTTTGTGTTTCTTCCATTTGCGAATAATCGCACCAACTGTTGTCACCTTTTCACCAAGCTGCTTGGCAATGGTCTTGTAGCCCATTCCAGCCGTGTGTAGGTCTACAATCTTGTCCCTGACATCCTTGGAGAGCTCTTTGGTCTTGGCCATGGTGGAGAGTTTGGAATCTGATTGATTGATTGCTTCTGTGGACAGGTGTCTTTTATGCAGGTAACAAGCTGAGATTAGAACTCCCTTTAAGAGTGTGCTCCTAATCTCAGCTAGTTACCTGTATAAAAGACACCTGGGAGCCAGAAATCTTTCTGTTTGAGAGGGGGTCAAATACTTATTTCCCTCATTAAAATGCAAATCAATTTATAACATTTTTGACATGCGTTTTTTTGGATTGTCTTGTTATTCTGTCTCTCACTGTTCAAATAAACCTACCATTAAAATTATAGGCTGATCATTTCTTTGTCAGTGGGCAAATGTACAAAATCAGCAGGGGACCAAATACTTTTTTCCCTCACTGTATATATTATCTCTGATAGCTGGATTGAATACGCCCATTTGTGTCGATGCGGCAGTGGGGTGCCTTTACCAATACAGCTGAGGATCAATGTCTCTTTGCTCGACGTGACAAATATTGAGTGTACTGTATGTATGTTGCACTTCTTTCGCACCGTACGTAGCAACCGTGCTAATCGGAGGTGCTCTTTAGTATGGCTATGATATGTGTGTGGAGGGGGGAGCGGGCATGGTTAGTGCTTGACGCACTGCGATATGAACTCCCTGCCACGTCGAGCTGTCTGTGGGTGGCAAGTTGTATATCAACACGGTACTGGGGCAGCCCACGTTAACTTTTCCAACACGCACTGTGTAGCGTGGTGAAGTATGGTCAAACAACGCCCACGACAGACAGCCGTGGGGGAGTCCTTCATCCAGCAGTGGATTGACGCAGGGTTGTAGAGCAGATCGACTGCCTTTAACTCAGTGCCCATTTTTAATGTCTGAAAAAAAATGTTGTGAAAAGTGTCATTGTTGCAATGAAATAAGGAATTCTTTACACTCACAATTATTGTATTGCATTTGGCTTTATTGCAGAATATTAAGCAACGCAAATGATGCTTATTTTTTTACAACGTTTTCAGGTGTAATATTGCATTGTAAAATCACTTGCCCAGCAAATAAATAGTGCGTCGTTAAAGCTGTGGTTTTCACACCTGATGATGATTGCTTGTGTTGCAGTCGAAACGTCGTGAGAATTTTATTGTTTTATATTTGTATTATTTTATTGTTTCCCTTCTACGTAACTTTACCGAAAGAACTAAGAATACGTTAAAATGTAGCTTGCTTCCTTCAGAAAGGAACATTACATTAGTTTTTTTTTAATTACGTTATCTATAGTCGCTGGATAATAACTGTAAACCAAAATTTTGATTTAAAGCTTTCGTGACTACAGGGATTCATATTCTTGGTTCTTTCGGTAAAATCACGTATTGTTTCCCTTCTACGTGACTTTACCAAAAGAACCAAGAATATGTAAACCAAAAGTTGCTTCAGTGGCTATTTTAGATGGAGTACATCACCACGGGGCCAGTCAGATAGTACAGTCATCCCACACCTACGTACGGTGTGAAAGAAGTTCAACATACCGTATTATTAAGCATGTAACGACTAAATGGATGAATTGTAATGATTGGAGGTCAGGATTTGAGTTAACAATAGACTGTTTTTCATCTGGTTTGTAAAGTTTAGGACCGTTTAACCCAAACGAAACATCAGCGTATGATGAAAAAATTCTTATGCGCACGATCCCGATGAGCATAACCATTTATTTAATCCGATTAATAATCGATGGGTCTTTACAGGCCTATAGTATAAACATATATACCTGTGTGTGAAATACGCCGTAGAGGACATCCACCGCAGAAAATGAACCTTGAGATTGGCTCGCGGTGCAGGGGAAAGATGGATCGATTGCTGCAACACAATACCCCCCAAGGATGGCGACGACTTGTAGGGGGGTGGGGGAGGAGGCCTTCATCCAGCAGCGCATAACTCGAGGCTCCTAATGATTATGATGATGACTTGAGTGTATAGACCGTGGCTTTAGTCCATGAGCCAGAACAGAAATTGGTACCATCTCATGTAGCGCACATTTTGAATGGTGAAAAAGAGGTGAAGTATTTCATAACCCGCTCATTTCAAATCGTTTTTTTTTTCATTTATATTTCACCGTTATTGGCCACACGTAAATTGTGGCCGCAAAAGTTACATACGGCCACCTCAGTTGTTACCCAGACAAAGAGATTGCATCTCGTTTGGTCCCATGGACTATTTGGGTTTGGGTTTTGGTGCCCACGTTCCAACCGCCTCCACGCAGTGCGCGCGCACCGCTGCTGGGACCAGGAGGGCGTGGCCGTGGGGGGGGGGAGGTCCTCGCTCAGTACTCTGTGAACCGACGCAGCGACTGCACGCGTGGCCCAGCCGCGCCCCACGCCTGGTGCTTGCGGTACTCCCCGTGCTCCATGCAGTACTGGCGGCCGCGGTACTCGGGCTCTTCGTACGCCACCCAGGCCCCGCCGGACACCACGCGCACCGATTGCACGTCTTTGCGGCCCCAGCGCCCCTCCAGCACCGGGCAGTCCTCGCTCAGCTCCAGGCAGTCGCCGGCGAACTCCGCCTTCTCGTACAGGCGGATGCGGTGGCCGCCGCTCGCCTGGTAGAGAGACACATGCAATCGGCAACTCGTTTCTCTGGAACTTTTATTTTGCGCTTAGTTTGTCGTCCTCCGATTAGCGCGGTTGGCTATGTGCGGTTGCGAAAGAAGTTCGGCATGAATCTTGAATTAAAGCTTTCGTGACTGCAGGAAATCATATTCGTTGGGTCTTTCGGTAAAGTCTGAGGTGTGAAGTTCAGCATACATAATATATCCGCTGTAGGATAAAGGCCTACTCAAGATTTCGTCATCTACCCACGATTCCTGCGATGGAACAACCCACCTAGCCCCCGTGCACGCGTGTTCATGTCGTGGCTTCGTTTATACGCGGCGGTGGATGCCCGCTCGAGTGTCCTCCCTCCTTTCGCTGCTACTCTGTCATTAGTCTCGACCACTGTCGGCATCCCTTCCAGCGTCGTGTTCTGTCAATGCCAACTTTTCTTTTTCTTGTTACTATGTATTTCATAAAAAAAAAACATTCGCCTGCAAAATACCCTGATCAAACATCTGCTGCAATGGTGTCCAGGGCATCGATTTACTATGCATAGCAAACACGTAATGACCCTTCTTCTTTGGTTCTTTCGGTAAAGTCACGTAGAATGAGAATAAAATAATGAATTGATAAAATATTATTGTGTTATTTTATTTTATCAATTTATTATTTTATTCTCATTCTACGTGACTTTACCGAAAGAACCAAAGAAGATGAATCCTTGCAGTCACGAAAGCTTTAAAACGTAATGACCCGTTTACAAATTTGATGTCTCTAACTTGTGTATGTTCTCTAATCCACATATGTCTGAAGTTTGAATTAACAACCTATATTATTTTGAGCCTGCCAACATGCCAATAGACCTTATATATCCATCCTGTATTTTCAAGAGAGTGTTTGCATTGTGGTTTGCACACTGCGCTATGCACCTGGAGACCTGAGTTTGATTTCTGGCCATGGCGGCAAGTGATATCTGGCCTGATCCTGGGTGCCATCCACTTCACCAGCCCGCGCTGAGCAGCGTGGTGAAGCATGACTGACATGGCGTGGGGCGGCCTTCATGCGTCAGTAGATTGTTAATGTACGGAAATGAATTTGATTGCTTAATTCAAAACTTCCGCAAAGTGCACATTTAGTGTCCTTTGCAGTTTTGCATGGCAGCTGCAGCCAGAGAGGAATGGGTCCATGGAGTGAGTGAGCACAGCGCTGCATCTTTGTCATCCTGAAATGTTAATCCTGTAATGGTTCTTGTGCCACTTGCCACTCTTGTTGCAAGCACTAATACATTTTCGTGGCCAGTCAGCAGTTGATTTATTGTGAAAATGACGCAGACTTAGCAGCCATGATCTACTCACTGCTGCATAAAGTCCTCTTTCCAAAGCCGTCGCCACCACGCTATCTTGCTATGCGACATTCAATGTAGACCCTACACACTAACTGATTTCATCTCCTCAATGGAAGTGCACTTAGATGTGGTTCCCTACTATTCTTACTACTCTGTCTTTAAGTTGCAACTGCCAGCTGTCGTCAGCTGTCATCTCTTCTAGCGGCGTGTCATGCCCAAGGCTACGTACAGAATCTTAAGTCAACATGATGTTAAAATTGCGCATGTACACAAATTCCACGTTTCTTTTCCTGTATCAAAGTGCAATTCCAAGCGTGCACCGCGCCCAGCTTTTGAATGGACTGGTACAGCTTTTGTTCCCCAAAAAGCTGTAACAAAACAATCTAATCACGATAACTTTTAAATCAACGCATTCACCGCTTGAATCTCAAGCCACCTCGTGGCGGTTCTTGCTACGGTACCTATCAGCACCGTAGGAAGTGGGTCGATTGCACCTCAAAAACTCTCAGATCTGGGCCAAGCGCTGCCGACATGCCCCTAAGGAGAGCGCAAAAACCACACCGGGGTGGGACACCCAGAGGATAGGCGTCGAAAGAGGTGGTTTGAAGTGGTGAACCTGAATCTGAAGACCTTTGGAGTGGACGTCATAATGGTCCAGGACATGAGAATGGGTGGGGAAGGAGCACCTGGAATGCTAACTGCCACATGAAGAGGGGGAAACAATTCTAGGAAGAACGAGAGCTGTTGGCTCTCAGAGGTGGCGATATTCGAACCGATAAAACTGTGCTGGCATGTCGGCTCCTCTGCCATCAACTGGTGACGGATACAGTTGTGTCGGTGGAAGGAATGCGAGGAGGAGATGTGAAAATGGCCCAGGAGAGGGTTATGAGTGGAGGATTAAGACGAGGAAGGCAGGCCATATCCAAACTTCGAGAAGCGAGGGGTGGGGGGGGGGAAATGCCAGCAAGAGAAGTGCTGTGGGTGAAATCGAGCGATGGGAACCTCGTATCTGTACCTGGCGGAGGATGCGGCAGGACAGGATGTACTGCTCGCCCTGCACTTGCCACTGGGTCGGGTCGGCGAACTCGCCGGGCGACAGCACGTGCATGTTGCCCGTGAAGTCCTTCCTCTCGTACAGCACCCAGGAGCCGCTCTCGACGCGCAAAGAGCTCACAGGGCCCTGCACCATGTCCTCCAGGTCGGTGCAATCCGCCGTGCTCTCATACTTCCGGCCCTGGAAGTTGTTTTTCTCGTAGAACACGATCTGAGCGCCCCGACAGACAGGAACACGGGACGGACGATTTACGATGACTGGTCTGAGCACCCGAGTAGCAGACGTATGCAAATAGATGGAGAGGCATGCAGAGACATTAATGATCGAATGAAATGGACAAATGCTAGACAGTTGTAAAAAAATTGTATCAGTTGATGGAGTGACATGAATACAATTCCATACGCCAGTTTTCCCATCGTGACAATTCGGAGCCCTTTGTTTAACCCACTGCTGAATGAAGGCCTCCCCATGCCGTGTCGGTCGTGGGGGTGGTTTTGCCCATACTTCGACCACGCCGTGACCGAGTTCAAAGCGCAGTGCTCGCAGGCCCAATTCATTGCACAGGTTCCGAATTATCCTGGTTCGCTCATCCATACAAAACGATCCTCCATACAACCTTGTTAGTCGGTGCTTATGCTTTATGCGAGAATCGATTAGGGCTAGCCACGCCACACAAGTAGGTGGTGGGGCCAGAATCTCGCCTGGCCTCCTTTGTTACCTCGGCGGCACTTAGGTTTTTACCATGCAGCAGCTCCTCTTTTTCAGGTCGATTCGACCTAGGGGAGGCCAAGACAAGTTCTGGTACAACTTGCCATTTGATGGTATGGCAGTGGGTAAAACCACCTTACCATCGCATACAAAGACAAACACAAATATCCACCAAATAGCCTTCTAACCGACTTCAGTTAGCGAACCCCTATTAAGGTCGGCACGACGGCGTGGGTGGCCGACAACACGCCCGGTTCTCGTTGTCTCTCCAGTACTTATGTTTACATGCCAAGTACTCGTTTTATGGCTGAATCGACCACGGAGAGGCCCAGGCCCAATTCAAAAATATTCGCCACTGTTATTCGTCGTGAAGCGGAGTCAAACTATGTTCGCAGGGCTGGCAACGCAGTGCGCTACCGCTCCCTACGATAGAAACCCGCAGGAACGCGCACACAAAGGCAAAGTGCGCATGACACGAGCTTGAAACATTTTACCTTTCCCATGGTGATGGTTGTTGGAGGCAAGTCGATTCAGGGATGCAGTTTGAAATGGCCAGGGACAGGCCTTTTTATACAACGCAGTGTACACTGGCCTAATCCTGAAGCAAAAAAAAACCAATCGTGTTTGTGTCTGCGAGGCACAATGAGCGAATATCTGGGAGAGGGGCCAATGGTGATAGTAATAATAAGCCCACTTTATTCACATAGGAGCGTGGGGCATTGACGGGGGGGAGGGGGATTTCGGACATTCATTCGCACCCTCTCCAATGCGCTGCGTTTCTGGATTTTGTTGCGACCAACTGGCACGCGTGCCCGGTGCGTTTGGCACTCAAATGCGCTTATGTAGAGCATTTGCTTGTAGAGTAGAGAGCGTTGGCATGCACTATTGCCACCCAAATTGGCAGGCGAATATATGCGGACGCGGGTGGGGTTTTTGTTTTTGTTGTAGGTGTGCTGCTTCTGTCAGTAATGCGATTTTTGAATTAGGCCAGCAAATCTCATTGTATTTAATTCCACGTGAAATTACGATGACCGTTGCACATTCGTGCGTGATCACGCCGCGCATTCTCTCCACGAAACTGAAAGTAATGCGGTTACCGTGCGGTTGGGTCACGGCTAACTCGGTCCTGTGTGGGCACATCATGATGGTGTGATTAAGTGTGTGCAATTATAATATTACCATGTATAACATGCGTGTGTGCATATGCATATCACTGTGCTGCGAATCTGGCAACCGGCGTCCCCTTTTTGGGACGACTGCTAACAGCAGTAGGGGAGTGATCCCTGAACTGGTCTTTGACCTCATTAGACCTCCTTTGCCAGTACCAAAATGTAATAATAGGATTTTTCCCCTTTATTCTGGCAACAAAACTGAAACCTTTTTCCAAGGATTCATGTCTGCCTTTTGGCGGCATCTGGTCGAGCACCAATTGGGTCGAGGCTCAAAAGAAAGCCGTCCCTTGGTGTGGACCAACCAGTTTCAAGGACAATGCATCATATATTATCATAGTATGTTTTTTGTTTGCATTTTGACTGCAGGTATTGTGGTTAATGCAGTAACATGAATCCTTGTAAAAAGGTTTCAGTTTTGTTGCCAGAATAAAGGGGAAAATTCCTATTATTGGTCTTTGACCTCTTTTCAGTTGATCCAGCCGTAAATGATTTCCTGGTGCAGTGTGTAAGACATCAGCACTGGTCAGACAAAGGTAGACCGTCATAATGCTATTCATACCTGTCCCCTTGTGCACCATTCAGACCTCAATAGGTGCTCGCAAACATCACCATCCCCAATGGAATTCAACTATACAGGCTTTCTTTGTTGTCGTTGAGCCAGATGCAATTTCATGTACATTTAAATTGCACGCCTGTCGAATTGTGTTTCTGAAAGTTTTTTGGCCCGCGGACCACTCAGCCATTGCAAACATTTCTGCGGACCACCCAGCCCCCCACCTCTGGTGACAAAACGCATGCACTTCTCTCTCTAAACACCAGCAATACAACATTATCCATGTTGTCGGAACATACATTTGTTTTTGGTTTTAAACATAGCTGTAAGTTTATCTTTTGAGGGTGGCATTTAGATCTGACGTTTAATCAGGGTAGTTTACCTAACTTTATTTAATGAAATATCGTTAGTAAAACATTAATTAATGTCCAAACCAAAAAGGTAGAAACGTCATTATTTCCGGATCAAACCTGCATTTGCATCACAGCCTCGTGGTCCACGTGGAGGACCGTCGCGGACAACCTGATGCTCCAGGGACCGCACTTTGATACCCGCTGCTGTAGTGGAATGACTGACGACGGCTCGTGCATTGCAATGACCAAATACAGCAATATTTGTATAAATGGGGCCTGGAAGATGGCCCTCTGCCGGATTTGCCAACCACTACCCAAACACTTCCCCTGAAAACAATATAGAACACATGATGAGTATAATAATAAAACATAACATTATGTAATGTTAAAATATTAGCCAAGACTGAAATTAACTTTTAATTATACCTAATATCAAGCAAAAAAGCATTTAAACAGTATAAAATAATCACAATGTTGCTTATTTCATTAAACACTTTTAAAGGTCGTCCTAATTTATGATGATTTAATAATGTCATTAATGATTGTTATATTATATTGGTGTGTATGCCAATGTTCAGGAGCTCAGTGGCAATGTCGAGGTCTGCTCGCCACGAGAGGGCTTCAGGAGAGAGAGAGAGTTGGTGTCGTTTTTCTGTTCCTCCTCCATTGGACGAGGAGTGCAGACTACAGTGGTATAACCACGTGGTCCATAGTTTGGTTTGTATGGCCACAGTTGCTCTCTTGTGGCTTAAGGCTTTAATTTTCCATTTTTGAAGGAGATGTATGTGCAACATCGGCCTGGTGATGTTCTGATGCGGTTGATGGTTACAACACCGCGGTGTCTTCGATGGATGAGGAAGAATGTCAAAGGCTTGAGGTGCGATGTTTGGGTCTCGAATGAGGAGTTTATTCTGCACATCAACGTAGTTCCACTGTTCGCCAGCGTTCTTCCGGATCTGGGTGAAATTCTAGGATGGTGACGGCACGATCCTGGAAGAGCGATCGGGACTTGAGTGGGCGGCGAGATTCATTGTTGAGGTCTTGGTTGATGGTTAGGTTGTTGTTGTTGGCAAGAGAACGGATATTTGGTGCCAGAAAGTTCGCCAGAACAGGAAGCCCCATGGGGTTGGTGTCTGTTTCAGTGTTCTGGTTATGATACGCAATGCGTTTATTTGTGCATCTAGCAGTTTTGCGTAAGAGCTCGCGTACCAGACTGGAGCACAGTACTCTGCATATCAACTGAGTTGCTCCTGCAAGTATCTCTACCGGGCCGATTCTTGATTTGGTCTTTTCACAAATATTTTTTTACGTGGGGCTTAAAGGTCATGCTTATCCAAGTTACAACCCCTTGATCGATATCTTGGAGCGGGGGTCATAGCACACCGGACTACCATAGAAGAACACATCAATAGTCCATCTGCCGCACGATTGTTCAGGTGGAAAGCACTTGCGGTGACTTTTGAAGGATTTGGTTGGAGTCTCCTCCGATGGAAGTATTCACCCAGTGACATTTTATCAGCTGTTAGAATATTGGCCATGTTCTCCAGGTTTGTGCACTGTGCAGCAAGAGCTATGTCATCTGCATTTATGAACTTGCGAGATGGTGTAGATGGCAGGTCACTTATATCTAAATTGTTAACTTGAGGGGGGGGAGACCATCGTTCATAATTCTCTGGCGGCTGTGTTTGTCAACGAGGTCTACCCTGAGAGTACGGTTGCTCAGCGTCGCCACGATTACGTCGACAGTAGAACGGAATCTGATGCTTTTACCCAACTGCTACGGCAGGCGATGACGCCAAACGGTGTTACAGACAGCGGAGGGGACGATCATTGCAGTGCCGGTTTTCTGTTGACGCTGAGCGTTTTAGCTTGTGGGAGGAAAGACAGAAATACCCAGAAAAAAACCCCCACCACGTGTACGATAGCACAATACTCAAAGCTCTGACCTGCTGCACTGCTTCAGTCGAGCCACCTAGTGCCTCAACAGGTTTGGAAGTTTCACAAAATCCTCGCGTGAGTCACCAAACCTCGCCTCAAAAACGCCGGAGCTTGGGCGTGCGCAACTACACGCGGCTTATAAAGCATGAACGTACCTTAAACTGTCGGCAAACTACGAACTAAAATTAGGTTAAAGTAATGTTCAACAGTAAAGTTATTCGGATAGGATGCGACATGTTTCTTAGTTTTGTCCATGTCGAGTCACAAATATGATTTATATAAATTATTCATGATTTTGCCTCACTGCTGGCCCCATAATTAATCTACTGCTTGATGAAGTTCTCAAGCAGTTGCCATCGCTCCAGATCTTGTCATGGGACAATCCATTGAGCACCTGCACAAGAGTTGAATTCAATGTGTTAGATCATGTTTGTAAGAATCTGTTTTTCGATTCACATAAAGTACCTTCAAACATCCTCGATGTCTGACACGGGGGGGGGAGGCTTTAATTAGATAGTTAGGGAAGTTTTAGCTATTTACAAAGATGCATGAATAAATACATGTATTGAATCGAATCGCAATCCTGAATCGCAACACTTAATTGCAATACCTGCAATGGGGAATGTGCGAATCATTGCAACCAGTTGTGAGTATTGTTGACAAGAACTCGAACAGATGGCTGTGCATTTCGTTGATGGGAAAAAGAATGGGGAAAACATGGTTTCGTAAATAATTCCGTAGGTAACTCTTGCAGAAGTATTATTTCAGAAAAAGGAGGGGGAGCTCCCAATGTTTTGAGTGGAGGGCCCTTTTCGGTAACTTTGAGACAAGCCAGCCGCAATTAACAGGTCACAACACTGCAGACGACACTCGGGAAGTCGAGACCGGTGCACAGTTTAGGGGCCGTCCATAAATGACGTCACGCGATTTTGGAGGATTTTTGACCCCCCCCCCACCTTCGTCACACGGCGTCACAAAAAGTCAGACCCCCCCCCACCTCATATATGACGTCACAAAGCTCTGCCCCCCCCCCCCCCCCCCCCCCCACAAATAAAACATGCTTCAAATCGCTTTAAACTATTGTCATTGTAGTGCGTATTTAATGTTGCGCTGCACTCTGATGTTGTAGGAGAAAACAATTATCAAAAAGTCTATTTAATTAAGTATAACGTGTTGTCTATATTTAAAGTTGCGCATTTTGATGTGACGTCCCCCCACCACCCTCGTCATTTATGGACAGTCCCTGACCTGTTTTCTACAAATTCTGCTTCAAAACGTTGGTCTGGGCAAGCTCGTAGTGCTGATGGACTCAAATGCGATCCGCAGTGACATAGCAGCCATGCTCATCGGGTAGGTTGATAGGCATCGGCTTTGGTGCGGACGGCCGCTCTCGAAACAAACCTCTCGCTGGCTGAGTGAGGGCTCGGCTCTTGGCACTCAGTCCGCCGTTCATTTGGTGCGCACGGCGTTTGAAATCGCCCGGTTGGAACATTGCCACGGGTAGTAAGGGGACCAATTGAGATTTTACGTTTTAAAGAATAATTTTTATTCTTATTTTTAAAAGTATATTATGTTTTCTGTCATTGAACTGTGGTTCGTAAA